AAAAATGTGTCTGTGTCATAACACTGTCTTCACACCATGTTATATCAGGCTTATATCATGATTCCACATCACATTATCCATAGGTTACTCTTGCATCATTGTCCCATAACTCCATCTCACTGATCGCTTGCATGTGACATCAAAGCAGCTTATCTGGTGAAAAAAACTAACGATTTTTGCCAATATCATAGTGGATAAATATAACCACAATTCCTTATAATACTGACATGAGTTTTAATTTTAAAAGTGAATGGACTTCTTCTGAGACAGAGAAAAGAGACAAGCTTATGTCATGCAAAAATCAATGTCCCAAAAMATTACAATGTGGCCATAGATGTTCAATTGACTGTCATCGTGGACCATGTCCCAAGCAGTGCAACAAGAAAACATATCTTAGATGCCCATGTAAACGRAAAAAAAAGGTGAGAACATAACCAACTGTCTAGTTGTCAGAAAACATGATAGTCACAGGCAGYTACATATGAGTGAGTCTTGGCTYGATATTTATAGTTTGTAGGAGAAAACTTGTTTCTGCTCCATATTGAAATGTRTCTGTCAATGAAATTAAATTGTTGGTCTTCTACATTTAGGATTTCCCATGCAACACTGTCCAGCTTGGTAAAATATCATTAGAATGTGACAGCGAATGTGAGGAAACGAAGAAACAACACAAACAGAAAGAAGAAGAAGAGAAGAAGAGRAAAAGAGAAGAAGAATTGCGCTTACAAAAGGTACATTCATTTATGTACATTTGTTTAGTAATTAGTATAGCTTTCATTCTACTGAAAAAAATTGAAATACTTCTAGATAATACAATTTTACATAATAATATATGGGCCTTATTTCTTTGATTCTGCTTAGACCAACCATAAGCAGGATAGTTTACAAAGATTCTAATTTCTTGACRTTTTAGGAGGARTTGGAATTATATGAAAGAAACAGACATGGCAAAAAGCGCCGCCCAAGRARGAAAGAAGAAGAAGTTGTAAAAGACTGGTGGATAGTGACACACAAAAGAGACATATTTTTCAGTGCAATTGCTATTGCCATTGTTGCTTGTTTATTTTATCTTGCCATTAGTTAATGGCTTCTATTTACATATTATTCATACATATTTAATATTGTGTATTAAAAAAATCTTAAGAAAAGAAACAACTGAATGTGTGTTAACTTTATGCTACTACAGATTTTCGTTTTTCCATTTTCAMTTCAAGTTCTGGAGATTTACTAGTGACTTCTTTTAGTAAATTATCCAGCTGATTTTGTTGACTTTGTTGTTCTACAGTTTGTAAAAACTCTGGCACTCTTGTGCTTTTCTTGTCTACAAAATCTTTAAATGCCTTGGCACCATGCATTGTAGCTAAAACAGTGTCCTGTTGTAAATAAACAAATACATATGACACTATGTAAAAACAGTAAATATTGAATGAAATGGAACATTTTCATGKCTTTGCAACTGCACATGCTAGAGCACAKATAACACACATATCTAGCCTCCTTTAGCAGCCTCCCCTGTTGCAATGCAATGCAGYTCCCCCTGATGATCCCCCTGTGTCATCATACAATGCATCTGTGGTGAGTAGTGTTSCATGATGACACGGGTAGGTGCTAAAGGAGGCTAACACAAATCCATCATGCCTGGTATTAAAAGTAATAAATRAGAAAACAATTGTCAGCACTCCTACACTGCATCATAGTGTAACCAGAAACTTTGCCAACACATGGAATCTAGACTGTACAATGTAGCTAATTCAGGCTTTAGTATTACCACAATACATATGCCTACATACTAATTAGCTTGGCATGAAACACCTTACAGTCAAAAGACATCAAGCGAGCCCTCCAAAAACACCATAGATTATTCAATTCACTATTYGATTCTTGATGATTCAAAATTATTGAAATCAAGTTTGAATTCAAACTTCTGAATTCAAACTTCGAAATTTCATTGGATTATTGATCAGATTTTCATAAATGTCATAAACCTTCAGCCAAAAGCTTTCTTCRTAGTTTACAATAAAATGAAAAATCCAATAATGAATTGAATAATGAAGTCTTTGGGGGGCGCGCTTCATGTCTTTTGACTGTAAACACTAGCACACTTTTAGAGTATAAATTATGCACTCAATATATTGGAAATAGCTGAATGCTTCTCAGCGTTATGCTTTATGACAATATTTTCTTGTCGTGCTGACAATAGAATCAAATGRATGRAAAAATGAAAGTAAACAAGGAATCTCTCCTTACCAGTTTTTGGCTCTTTTTCTTTGATTCAGACAGAGTTTTGTCTTGCTGTTCTTTAGGATCCTGTAGAGGATCATCATGGGATCTTGGTTTCCAGGTTTTAGGGTTTAGATACCAGGCACCATACTTGACTTTCACCCAACTTGGTGTGTATTTACTAGAACCCTTTGGAACAATTTGCAATATATTTATTCAAACAAATGATGAATCAGAAAAATAAAGTTCCACATGTTTGGCTTTTTTTATGATTGGTAAAGGACAATTTTTGTGCTACCAAAATATTGGCGTAACAATTTGAATTAATATATATTTCTGATGGAAATATTAAATATTGATGTAGCCACAGTCTATGTAAGTGCAATAGTTCCCTTAGGTATTCTTGTCTCATCTTCATCAATGKTTTGTTTGTTTATAGGATCATTACTTACATCTTTAGCATCTTTCATCAACATTTTTGCCTCATTTGGTTTAGCCGTAGGTGATCCAGTGTTTATTCTTAGTTCAGGTGGTACATTTGTAAGCTCAACCACATGAATAGGAACTGATAGGGCAGGCTGCAATAAGAATTTAAACTCTGTCAATTTAATAACCAATTACAAGCATCATCTTTTTGTAACATTTTCAATTTGTGTAAAATGCAATATTCAGTAGAATTATATTAACCAAAACCTTAATAGAATGCAAGCAATACATATAATGCACCCACAAATTGCATGGTTTCAAAATATATAGTTTGTGCTTTGTGTAAAATCACTGCACATTCAAATACTTGTTTAATCAGTTTAAGAAATGGCTGCACCCAAGATGGTGTTTGGAATTGTTAAAGTTCCATGAACTACCTTAGTTTCATAGCCACTTGCAAATAACGACATCACTGTGGACTCCTCAATATTGTTGCTTTCTCCACCCTAAGATAAACAGAATGTTATTCACATCACATTTAATATTTTAAATAATTAGTTGTCTGTTTATGGACTGAGGACAGGCTGTTATTATACTTTTTACTGGACATTATTAATAATTTAATTGGACAATTTAACACACAATAGGCATATCTCAGTGACTAATGTTTGTCAGGCAAAATATATTAGATTTCTATACTCACTAGGCTGGCAACCCAGTTACAAAACTCCCTAGTAACATCTTGTATTTGAGTTTCCTGTGAATTCAATAGTAAGAACAACGTGATCTACACATATTAAAAAGCTTTAAAAACTACAAGATAGATGGAACATTTTCTGGGGTGCTTTTTGAAGAATTTAATTAGCAATAAATAAAGAATTAAATAACTTACAGATGTTGGAGAATCTGGTTTCTTTCTGCTTGCTTTTAATCTCTCTTCTTTTTGTATTTCTTCTTGTTTTGGTAGCCACCGGTAGGTCCCCTTCTTACCACTGTTACTCCTGTCGCTGTATAAAGACATTTGAATTATAAACTTAATATTAATTTAATAATACATCAGATTTAAAGCACTTAAAATGCAAGTTTTCTAAGGGTAGTATCTGTCAGATTGATTACACTCTTAAATCTTAAAATGCTTGAAGATGCAGCCCTTTAAATCCACCCCCTTAAGTGTGAGTACATTTTATTTAATATCAAACTAACACTAAAATAAGAAAGCGTAATTTGCACTAACAAGATTAGATAGAGCAGGGTTAGTGCAGATACATTGTAAGTATTTATTATCAGTTTTTAGTAATATTCTCGATTGGGGATTTACTCAGACCAATCATAATGTAACAAATATGGTTGAGGAACTGAATGATTTAAGCAATTTTTCTTTTGGATTTGGATGATGATTTTTCTTTGCAGCTGATTGGTGGATTCCAACACCCTCTGCATACCCCTCTAGATGATACCCCTCTACAATTTATTCAATTAATAAATCAATATCATTTCAAAGGAAGTTGTAGTATAGTGACATTTCCTTTTTATTCAATTAACTAGCATTAAAATTATCTACCTTCGCTTTCCAGATTCCATACTCTTTGCTGACTAAAAGACAATAACTAAAGGTTATCATGGTTATACTGCATTAATTTTGTTTCACAAGTGTTTRTGCTTTCAGTTAATAAAAAAAAACCTTTAAATGTACCTGACTTTCTCTTAATGACTGCTGCTTCTCACTTCCAACCATACTTGGATGAAAATCAGATTCCTTTAATTTAAAAAATAATAATTATAATATACGGTATAAATAATAATAAGTACGGTAATATACTGTCCTGTCTTAAAACTGCTTCAAWAAATCAATCAATCAATAAGTAGAAATTATTCTCATATCATTGTGTAATCCTAGATCATATAGAATAGAGCTCTATAATTAATGAAAATCAATCTACAGTACTAAACTACTACAGTATTATTAGTTTGCCTAAGTTTTCAAGGATCTGAAGCTATGTTTATACCTCAAAAGAATCCTCCTCTGCATCGCTGTCTATGTTCATCTCAGGATCTAGTACTTCAACAACATCTTCAAACACCTATAAGAAAAACAATACATCTCAAAATATGGATAATGTAATGYTCTTTCCTTTACAATATGACAGTGGTTTGCAAGGGAGGCACTGACTGGGGGCTGTAGTACCCCCAGCTTTTTCAAAAGTTGTCAACTCTAGGTCTATGAAATATTCCTATAAAGAGTATAATACCTTGATTCCAGAGTACTGTTTTTTCAAATTTCAATATGTCACCCACTTTAAACTTAAAAAAAAAATTGTGTCAGCCGCCTCCCCACTGAAAAAAAACCCTGTGCCTCCCCTGGTTTGGAACAATGTTTCTTTGAATTTCAAGGAGGGAAACAAAGTATGATTTGACTGTCGTATGAAGACACAATTTTGTGATGATGGAACATCAGTTTATCCATATACTGTATTTGCTGTGCCTTAATCTTCCAAAAGAAGTGAATTCCAAGATCGCAGTGCATTGTTAGGTCATTGTTMCCTTACTGTAGATCTGCGTTACAAAATAACAATTCTAAATTGCTTTCCATTGAAGTTCTAGACTGAAGGACTTGGTCAACTTGACACCATAAAAATTCCTTTTCAATAAAACAGCCAACAATGCATTGAGGTCTTGGAACACACTATTTTCACTATTCAACGTTTTCTGAAATGTATCCAAGTGTCAACAAGAAATAACCTACATCARGTGGTAATGACTCTTCTAGGTGAGGAAACAAAGCCAATGGATGTTGGGTAAGATTAAACTCAATGTCATCCACATGTTCTCTTCTTTGTTGTTGTAATGGTAAAACCCTTGTAACAAATTATAATTATTCTTAGTTCCATACAATCACAGATAATCTGGTCTTGTGGATCAATCTTGTCTGTTTCACAGCTATGTTAGTCAAKATCTCAGTAAATACCATGAGCTCAGCACTTTGGTTCAATAATATTGAGATATTTTGCTTAATGTAAGCTTAAATATCTTACTTGGAGTATATTGCTTCAGTTTTTGTGAACTTCTTCGGTTGTTTCTTAACTTGTGATCCTCCAGTAATGGTAGGTCCAAACCCCAAATCATCCTGTCACAATCCAAGATCCAGTTATGCAAATATGCTATAAAGCTATGTTTTCGTTTGTGTTTGAATTAAATCTCTTGAGTTTTCCTTTTCTTTCAGGCTACCTACCCTTTTCACGTAGTTATAAAATGCTTCAGGAGGCAGGCCATCTCTAAAATCATCGGCTCCTTTCTGTAAAAATGTCCACTGCGAGCCAACTAGCGTATCAGATTTACCTCTTGTTTTTCTTGGTTTGACGTACTTAGTTTCTAATCTTTCTCTGTACCTGCAGAAATACAGTATCCACTTCAGCATTTAAATTCTTAAGTTAAGTTATAAGTTTAAAGTCCTTAAGCTTTTTTACGCATTCGTTTTCTTACTAGTTATGAAAACAATAAAGATTGACAATTCTATAACTTGCAAACTAATTCATGACTAGTATTTACACTTACCACGGTTTGTGTCTCTTCTTGTCGTCTGTTTGTGTCTTGACAAGCAGTAAATCATATTTGTGAGCCATTTTTTTCCTATAAAGTTCGATATGCTTTTCAATGTGGCTGTTGTCCCCTTTGTTGCATGGCGACACATACCGCTGACCTAGACAATGACGAAATGTACAGGAATCCCAAATTCTGCATGGATGTCCTACATCCTACATCAAACAAAATATATGAATGCAAAATTAAAAGCGCTGCAATTTCTTCCAATTTTGCATAGAGGACGCACTTTAGAGGCTAGTCGATACTATACTTGTTAGATTTTATTATAACGTTTATTCACCGTGAAACACTGGTTCCAGGGGCGTTAAAAAAAACCCGTTTCGTTGTTTGACAATAATTTTTAGGGGTTCTTTTGTCTTCTGCTATGGATCGTCGAACTTGCGATTTGTGAAAGTTGTCTCCCTGAGATTGGTCTATTTGACCACGTGACACTTGATCAACCTCCTCTGGTGTGGTTTGACAATACCGTATTTACTCGAATAGACGCCGAACGTTTCACGATCCAGCTGCGGCGTTTATTCGAGGGCGGCGTCTATCCGGGGGCGGCGTTTATTAAAAAGACACTTTATTCAGTACTACATACCGTACTTTATATTGTATCTTTTTACTAACAAACAGTAACGAATCTCAATATATAAATGTCGTGTTCATTTTGTCGATTCAATTTATGATTTTAACCAGAGTTAAACTTCTATTTCAATATCAATGTCCTCCTTGTGGTCGGAATCTAACAGCTGCTGAGATCAAACGAGTACAGTCACTTCGAAATAAAAAATGTTCTAAGAGAAAATAAATTCCCATTGCTRGTATCATTATTTACTCAAATTGACGCCGCACCCAGATGCGGAARGACGTCAAAACGCTAGAAATATCGAGCCTGGAGTAATATCCTGTCTTGCACAATTTTCCAAAATAGCTAGCCCGACTTCACGCTCTAGGACCGTCTGGTTCAAAATATGCAAAATTCCGTGAGAGTTAAAGGAGTCTCCAAAAAAGTAACGATGTGCGTATTTATATCTATAACATTTGGGCTTTCTGTTTCACAAACGCGACCCAACAGATAGATTGATCCAGCAGTTAGAACTGAAGCGTTTTGCTATCCCGACTAATCTGCACGAGATCAGGGTACAAGCCAAGGCTCTGGAACCAGGGTATTAGCGTGATTGTCAAGTGCTTTTTATCTTGTATATAAACATTTCAGCAGAATGGTATCTTTAAGATAAGTTAGCTTAAGTTAGCTTCATAAACAAAGTTAACGGAAAATTTCCCTTTTTTATGGTTTATTATTCTTTTTACGACTACCAAGCAACGCCCTTCCTTTGAAGGAGTTCCTCTTTCTCTCGGCGATCTTCTCATTACTTCTCTTTGCCTTGTAGTTTCCTTTGCTTTCTTCCCTTCCGTTCCGCGGATTATTAGCTCACCACCCCAAAAGGCTATTGAAAGGATAYTTTTCAGTCAAGGCATTACCGGCGAGTCTTTATTGAATAAACATGATTTTTTTATCAATAAAATAGAGAAACTGTCAGATATAAGTAAACCTTGTTGTGGGGCTTTCAAGACAACCTATAGATAACAGATCGGACTGCCGAAGTATTTACACTTGCTAATATCGTTCAGAGATGACTTATCAATAATCGGAAAAGATACACCGACTTAAAAAAGGAAAACTGACAGACAGATCTCATACATTGACGGCGTCATTTAATTTTGGCAAAATAATGATAATAATAATCTGCCTGTAATCCAGTGACATTACGATCGGGACCTTAATTTATATTGACTTTTTGACGCCTATATACGATCCCAAAAATAAGATCTTCATAATCGGCTTCAGGCTAGAAAATGGAAAATGTCATAGTGGAACCACTCAAGACAAATTGTTTGTTTGTTTGCTTGTTTTGTTTTATTCATTTTTTATTTATTTTTATATACAGTATATATATACATATATCATATATTTTTTTAGGAGGAGGGGGGGATTTTCTGAATCATCTATCGATGTTTTTACTGCTGTTTTGTGGCTATCTTTTATAATCATCATTTTGTATATATTTAGCAGCATGTTTCCGCRTTTAGCTGTCATCCAACAAGTACATTAAAAATTAACGAGCAATTACCAAAGGGCGTTAGTTGTGTATTGTTCTTCAAAACAAATTTTATTATTAGTCTTTTTTAATTTTGATCCAATAACCAATCCATTTGTCGCCTCCTTTCCCTCATACATCCATTGCAAAAATCAGACTGATAATTCTACACTTATGTTGCGTCCTTTTTTCGTAAACACTCAGAAAGGGAAAAAAAGGAAAACACTTCACAGTAGCGAATGAGTTAGCACACTTAGCTAAACRCKTAATAAAACMCAGTCGCACCACATATTGTTATACATGTATCATTTATTTTGCGAGTTGTTCAAAGTCACAGGAAGGAAAAGCGATGAAAACTATGAAACATCAACTTTATTCATAAGTTTAACCAGCATCCTTTTTTATTAATACCAAAAAACCGACAAAGTAATACATACCAGCTCTTTGACCCAACCCAAGCATCACCGGYRCTAGTATTTACGTCTTAAATATTTACGGCTTTGTTAAATTTTAGGTTCTCACGCACTATTTGTTTTTTTGTTTGTTTGTCCATGTATATCKAAATATGGTTTGAGTCTTAAAGCCGATTAGGAAGAAAAGTTACTATTTCAACCCCGAAGCAAAATTGATCTTCACAGCTTTCCTGTTGTTTCATTTGATACGCAGATCCTAAAAGCCATTTAATCTAATTAAGAAATGGGGAGAATTATTGCACAGATAAAATTAAAACATTTCCTACTTCGGCGGCCTAGGTTATGTTAATCACTCAACCTTTACAGTTGAAAGATACTGTAATGTGTTCATAGGCTATTTTTTTGAGTACCGTCATAGATTACAATATATCTAGTTTGTGTGCCATAGGGGAAAAAATATTGCATCTAAAAGGAAAGTGTATGAAACTATTCWGAATTGTAGTGGGTTAATTTTAAAGGCAGGTTCCCCGATACCATCTCCACATACCATAATTATTACCATTTCCCAAATTCTTTACCGGTCTAAACAAAAATTCGAATAAACGTACTGTGTCAGTGTGAAAGCAGTCAAATGTTAGAGTCTTTAAAAGCCAATTCCGATCCACTGCGGATATCCAAATGTCGAAAAAAGAAAAGAATCATAGACAAATCTTGAGTTGTATATAACGCGTAAAGTGGAAGACAGAATAATTAAACAACCAAAAGACAATCCCATTTCATGTCAAATGCTGTTGAATCGTTTCCGTTCATGAATCTAAGTGCATCACGAAACTGGGATACCAGTGTACACACAAAATTTGCGGCTAAAATAAAGATATATGTGCGGTAGCATGTTCCATCCAGCAAAATAAATAGGCTCATTCCGGTTTCCATAAAAGGTATGGGAAAAAGTTCTTGCACAATACGGAAAGGTGTGGGCTATTTAGGGCAGATTTCAGTCGTTCGAACGCGGGCTAAAGGGAATCCTGGCTGCTGGAGAACGAATRAAATAACCAGAAAATATGGCAGTTTGAATCAGTGGATGGTATTTTTGATATTTCACGGAAATGAGCATTTCCGTTTGCTGAACATTTATGATTCGTACARTTTTATTGTAAACTGCCAAACGAGCTATTTGTGAGCACATTTCATTATTTCATGGCAAACTCTTGATTTCGCCTGTCTAACATGATAATTTTAGCATTAAGTTTCAATCATTTAGTTCACAACTTSGAGTGTTATTATTACGCACAGATGCAGTGTGCAATGGTTCAGTGACCTGACCGAAAACTAAAAATTGGATGACAAGACTCTGTTACGTTACAGCTCAACAACATTGGTGAATATTTCCGCTGTTAAAAAATTTTACGGCAGTTCTCTTTCTTKGCGGTACTCAAATATTAGTGATACCGATAGCTAAAGGAATAATACCGATATTTAGATTAATGTTAGTTATCGATTATACCTTACTGAGTTCTAAAGCTTAAAATAATTAAGCAGGCATTTGACTGATTTTTTTTCGATCAGTAATGTCTGTAAAGTAGTAAAATGAAAGATAAGACTAGAATCATCTTTCATGAAAAAGGCATGAACATCCGGCGCTAAAAAGAACCCGGCCTTTTAGACCCTGTGAGTCGAGTTGAGGTAAAGCCTTGGGAAAGATTGAAGAAGAAAGATTATCCTAATGCTATAGTCCGCACACAAGACAATTTGCGAACAAAACATTAAGGTCTATAAATAAATCACTGAAATATATCTGATTGAGCGTCAAGTTTCACACGTGTTACCCAGCATTCCTTAATACGTAACATTGTTTCTATGAATTGTTTCTAATTTCGTCATTTTTATACAATGATGTTTTGGCTCCTAGCTTGTCTAAGTAAAACCCTGATATTTGACGTGCGTATAGCCATAGACTAAACATTCTTCAAAACAGAGACGCTTCAACTAAATACCGGGTTGTGTTTCAAATCAACATAGCTATTCAAAAGTCAACAGTGACTCAGTATCTGAGCAGTTTCCTCAAAACTGCTTTCTGTCTTTGATATGTGAAAATAAATACAGTGTCATAAGAATTAAGACAACCAATAATAATGTTGACTTTTGGACTAAAAACGGGAGATCATGCCAGAAGATTAATTTAATTAAAACATGAGCTATATGTCACAATTCATATGAAAAAGAATATTTGAAAGAACCATGCACCTGTCTCAATTGTTCACACACATTTGGCGAGGTCTTAATTCACTCTTGAATTTCACACCGACTCCTGAGTGAGACAGCAACTATATCCTGCACTCTTTGCTAGAAACATACCTGAGGGTAAAGATATCATTGTAATTGTCTAAAAACGACTCAATTAAGGCCATAGATCYCAAGGCAGTGCCGAAATATATTCGGGTGACCGGTATCCACTAGTCACAGTATTGGTATGTATGCATGTGATTATTCTACAATGAAAAAAATCAGTATTAGATGTCCGTGTTTCGATTGAGCCACTAAATCACAATTAACATGCAACCCGTGCATTTGAAACAGGTGTTTAGCTGTGCTTTGTAGAGAAATTGGGTTTGGAGTTAGCTACGAATCCTATTAATGTTGCAGTGGACAAGAACATTTGTGTATACTGATTGATAAAAGCTCAAAAACGTCTTGTAAACCAAAAGTAAGATGTGCTAGTGAGAATGAGCACTGTACTATTTAGCTTTTCGTCTAGTAAAGATCTGTACGGATGGCTTTAACAGCGCTGTGGTTAGCTCTGTTGGTTAGCTTATATGGAACATGGGCTTGTCCTCAGGATTGCGAACATTGCCGTGAACCAGCTGGTTTCTTCAAAAAGACCATACCTTTGGTAAGAGCAGTGTGTCAGCATGCTCCTCAAATGACTACAGTTCCCCAAGACCTTCCCTATAACCTTGGAACTTTAATATTTAGATCAAATGGTCTCAAACAATTAGGAAATGCTTCTCTTAACAAATATCTTTATCTCRCAACATTGGATTTTTCTAACAACAAACTTGAAGAAATCGTAAGTGGTGCTTTTCAAAAGCAGCGAGACCTTGTAAAATTGATTTTGCAAGACAACAATCTAAAGAGACTGTCATCACTTATGTTTATTGGCTTAGATGCCTTGCAAAAACTCTTCTTGCAGAAAAACCACATATCAGCTTTAGAGAAAAGTGTTTTCAGWCATCTAAAGTCTCTGCGCGAGCTTAATTTGCACGATAACAACATTATGGACATTGAGACAGGGACATTTGAAGGACTAGATCTCCTAAGGGAGTTAGACCTGAGCGGATGCCTCATCAAGAAAATTGGACCAGGAACAATAGGAAACCTTATGTCTTTAGAAAACATCAATCTTAGTTATAATGATATTAATAGAATTGATGATAATGCATTTCAATGTTCTCCTTTGGTAARGACACTGCATCTSAACAACAATTCCATTGAGGAAGTCCCAGCTCTTTATTGGTTACAGTTTTTACAAGAGTTAGACATCAGCGAGAACCCAATAAGCTACATCCGCACAGAGTCCTTTCAATGGAATTCCAAACTTCAGCGTCTTAACATCAGTTTCTGTAAGCTGACTTTACTTCAGAAAGAAACCTTGGCTGGGCTGAAATCTCTACGATCAATATCCCTAGAGGGCAATCCTTTGAGGTGCGATTGTCTTGTCCACTGGCTTCACCAACAGGTAGTTACATCGACTAGCATGTTCTCTAAACCTGATMAAATAAAGTGTAATAGTCCGCKAAAACTAGGCGGCAGACCGATTCAGGATGTAAGAAAAGAAGATTTGAATTGCACCTGTAGCTTTTGTAAAAATCATACAGCTTGCCAGAACCCCTTGAACCAATGCACGTGTACCTCAGCAGAGAAATATGAGTCATGTGAGAACATCTGTACAACAGGGATTAAAAAGAGCCGATGTGATTTTGTCAATGGACAATGCCTTTGTATTAACTCCTCTTCAATTGCCGACCAGGAATGGAAGTGTCATTTTCAAATGACCAACAGAACTTGCAACAAAAACGCGCAASTAAAGAAAGTCAAAAAAGATCTACGTTGCGTTTGTAATGAGGGATATAAAGGAAATGGAGTCAATTGCACAGACGTGGATGAATGTAACTGGGTTATTCCACGTTGTAGAAACCCAAACCCAATATGTGTAAACACAATCGGTAGCTACAAGTGCAACTGTCGTGAAGGGTATCATAAGAACAGTAGGCCTTTATCGAGATGCATTGACGTCAACGAGTGCAAAAACTCATCAATCTGTGGAGACAATGGTGTTTGTAGCAACACAAAAGGTAAATTATAATATTGAATGATTCTTGTGCTCTAGTGCCATACAGTAAAAACCCGTGTATAAGAACACCTATTTTGACGGTCCAGACTGAATTGGTTCTTATATAAAGGGTTATAATCTGCAAAATCAGCCTGTAAGTGTTCTTAAGTGTTCTTAAAAACGTTTCTTAAAATAAGGAACATACAGTACATGCATATTCAATAAGCTTTTTCAGGAAATATGTGATCTGAAGTATGATTTTACCAAAAAGATATGACTAAAAAATAGTACATATTTCTATTTTGTTGAAACTTTTGTTACATATTATATAATTGGGGTGGAACTATTATGTGTGCAATAAAAAGTAGTGTTGATCTTTGATATTTTTCCATATAAGAACAACTTTCATTTTTCAGCTGAATGTGTTCTTATATAAATGGTACTTCAGAGACCGCTGAGCARGAATTTGTGTCCGGGGATATAAATTACTCGGAAAAATTTGAAATCTTAACTCTCGGAAATGTCATTTCCAGCGTTTTGAGGCGTTATCCAAGACATATTTTTGGCCGCTAACAAAAACCGCACACTGGGTCATACGAATATTCAATAAAATCCCAAAGACTCCGCACAAAAGCTTATTCGCACAAAGCTCTTATTTGTTCACGCACAGTTTTTACTCAATATTTATAGAATGAAAAGTGAAATTTCATAAGGAGAAGATTCAAAACGGCGGAAAGATTATTGGGGCTGTAGCCCCCCAGCGCCCCTGCACCGCGGTCCCTGTACTTTATTTCCTAAAATCAGGCCTGGGTGCTCTTAATCCACTTGTTCTCATATACGCGGGTTTTAACTGTATTGCATGGAATCTAGATCTGTAATGCCTAAACATAGGAGCTTGTGCTTTTTTTCGAAGCTGCTTTTAGTACATATGACTGAATATATTCATAAAATAAAATTTACACTCTTTATGCACTGCTAGAAAAAAAAAATYACACCTACATATTTAGTAAAAATCATTAAATCTTTTATTGATAAACTGTTTCCTAAAATTATTATAAATAAAATTAGCAATAAATACTTATGGTATAGTTAAGCCAATCAAATCGCAAACTACCTATACTAATTTTAGGAAACTTTATCAATAAAAGATTACGACATCATGAAAAAAACTGTACTATTAGATGTTATTCATAATTTCCGCATTCGATTCCAATCCGAATTTCAGTTGGCAAAAAATTCTTTCCTTTTTAGTAATTTACTCAACCTTTCTGTTTGAAACACTTTTTTTTACATGTTACATCAACAGGTGCGTATTTGTGTACATGCAAAACAGGATATCACCGTCAAGCAGACAAATGCTGGCCACTTTTACTTGAGGAAGAAATTCAATTAACAACTCAAGCTATCAATTCTACTGCCATATCAGTTAAATGGTCAGTTTTAGCTAAAAAAGATATGATTGCTACCTACAAAATACTGTACTTACCATACGGACCATCAGGAACAAAACTCATTGAATCACCAAACGTTTACCCGGCAAATGCTACTTATGGCATTTTAACAAACCTGCTTCCAGATACGATGTATAACATTCGTGTTAGGGTCCACATGGTGTATAATGCTACTGTACGAAGTCCTTTGTACTTCATTGCCACAAAGAAAAATGAGTCTGTTTCTCTCAAGCAAGTCATGAAATCTGGTGATCTAGATGTCTTAATTGGTTTAATAGTTTTAGTCATTATCGTTATTATAGCAGCGATCCTAATTGCTATATATTGGTTCACCAAGAGAAGAACCTYAAGGAGAGAAGACGGTGATAACATTCACACTCATTTGGAAGATCTAATTGAACTAAGGAGCAAAGATCAGTCACTCGTCGAGGGGACATCCCTTTGTGAACGAGAAAGAAAACGTAGCGAAAGATCAGGTGACATTCTCATTCTTTTGTATCATTATTCATCAGGCTCAAACAAACCGGGCTGGTTTTTTATAATTACTTGTTTTTCTTCACCGCAGCTGTCTTCGATGCTTGGGAAATTCCTCGTAATCAGCTGAAAATAGGAGAGAAAATAGGAGAAGGCCACTTTGGAGTCGTATTGCAGGGGACGCTGACAACTGGTGAGCCAGTCAGTAATGAAAATGCATTCAAATATGATGATTTCTTAGAATTCACTTAACTTTTTCATTAGGTGAAAATACCATCCAAGTTGCTGTAAAAACAATAAAAGAAGCTGATCGTTTCGACATGAAGGACTTTATGCTAGAAATGGAGATGATGAAAGAGATTGGATGCCATCCCAATGTAGTTAGTCTTTTGGGCGTGTCTTCCATTGGTGCACCGCTATACATCATCACTGAATATGCTGAAGGTGGAAACCTTCTTGATTTATTACGATCCAGTAGATGTGGAAGCAGCAAGTAAGAATATCTGTAACGTGAACAGATCAACATGCTAAATATAGAGAAGATATGGATTGAAACTTTTCTAAAATTGGGGGAGGGTGAGGGGACGGAGAGGACCGCACATCTATAAATTTTGTGAACTATGAAAACGGCATATGAATACGTATTTCAAAATGTATTTCTATATGTTAGGCGGAGGAGTACCATTGTATTCAAACTGATCGATAGTTTCTGTGTATAAGGGATTTATTCGTGCTCTAATTTACTTTACAGTATTTACCCGAGTTTTTTAGTAGAATCGAACCTACGTAGGTTAGACTAAACAGGTTCCTAAAGCTCTTAGGTTCTTACTTTCATAATTACCTGATACAAGTCTTGACAAATCAAAAGGTTGAAATGCATCCATTGCCAATTCAATGCTGACTGTACGTATTGATCTGTATGTGATAATGACCCATTTTAAACTAAACTGTATTTAGAACTTGAGAGTCTTGTTTTATATCGCCTAGCTTTTACAAAGATCTTTGAGTGAGGTTCACTTGCTAAAATACGAACCTGTTTTTGAATTTTAAGGTTCTTCCTATTCAGACTCAATTTCTAGTTTCTATTAAGCTGACTAACAAGGCTATTATCGATGGGGAGGTAGTGTGGTTTCTGTKAGCAGTGCTGTGCCCGGGCTGTAGAATACTCCGTGTAATTCTGCGTATAAAAAAAATCTTTGTAATTAATCATACTCTCAATCGTCTATCTTTTCGTCCAGGTATGCAAATGTAGCGTCAACTTTGAATTCACGAGATCTGCTAAATATTGCACTAGACGTTTCCAAAGGAATGCGACATGTTGCTTCCAAGAAGCTAGTACACCGTGACCTTGCAGCCAGGAATGTCTTAATGACTAAAGACTTGGTCGCAAAGATCGGTGATTTTGGTCTTGCCAGGGATGTGTACTCTGAAGGTATTTACGTGAAGACTGGAGGCGGACGTTTGCCCATWAAGTGGATGGCTCCCGAGTCAATTAAGGATCGAGCATACACGATTAAATCTGATGTCTGGTCATTTGGGATCTTATTGTGGGAAATAGTGACTCTAGGTGGATCCCCATATCCGAGTATGTCCGTAAATTTGCTTCTAGAGAAACTGTTATATGGTTATCGCATGCCCAAGCCTGATCACTGTTCAGATGAAGTATACAGCATCATGGACGAGTGTTGGAGTTTAGATCCTGTTGCTAGGCCAAACTTTGACTTTGTCTGTAAAGAGCTGTTGACATTATTGTCAGAAGAAGGACGCACCTACATCAACGTCAAAGGACTCGCTCTCGATGAGTCAGATAGTGAACTATCAAATGAACAAGGCAATTTCTCTTGCAACTTGTGATGCAAATGCAGTACTGGGTTATAGAGATGCAATCTTTTAAAACTGTGATTTCGAAGTAGTAGTAATGTTATTACAACAACTAGAATACAGGATTTTATCGCATTGATTAGACCTTGTAAGTTGAACAAGATCCGAAACAAAGGAGAAAATCCGTGAACGTGAGCAAGCAAGACTACAGTGAGAAATCTCCAACCTTCCACTGGCTTCTCTTAATGATCGTCCTCGGAGACACTCAAAACTAGCGTCCGCGAGTCCGCTGATGGCATGTCCACTCAGAGCCTATTTAGGTCTCAACTCAACCAAGCTTCAACCACAAGACAGTCATACGAATGCGTAGACCAAAAGTCACTCACAKATTTTCTTCCCAAATCAATGCGACTTATGCTATTGTTTTATACAGCGCAACTGGGCGAAYTAGGCTGGAAAATTGCCGTTGCCATGTCACTATATAGTAACATCACCTAAACAGACTGAAGAAAAATTTGGAGAACGTACTCATAAAAGACAATTTTATTGAACAAATACATAATAATTAGGAAATGTATTCTTTATTTTTATCTATTATTATCAAAAGAGTACGATATCTATCTTAATAACGTACATTGTTTGATCGTAGTGCTGTGCTGTATTCTGAAGCTAATAAATATTCATTGTCCATCATATGTCTGTGTATCTGTTTAAGTTTTGTTAAGATGCCTTTGCAGTCCTTTTTATCTAGCTTATGAAACGGTATCCGACGACTGATAGTCATATACTAGTAAAACCATCCATTCCAAAAACACGATATGCATACAATTAACAGATGGGGTGGATTGTCCGTTGAGACTGGGGTCTTTTAAAAAGATGTAAGAAATTAGTAGACATTATCGCCAAAGTCAGCTGATTCCTAATCCGGGTATTTTTTCCGAGCTCATCATTAGCCGGCTTGTTCCAGCAAAGGAAATAATGATTGTAAAATTGCATGGYTTGTATTATACAAACTGGCAATTTTTCACTATTCCATACATTAAGCTTTGCTTAAAGGCACGTTTCTTAAAGGCACGTTTTAGAGCAATCGTCAGGGGCACCTAGGAATAGTTTGTCGTTTTTATCCACACAAACAGTACATGTCTTGCTGYTTCCCGAATCACCAATCTTCATAAACACTGATTTGGCATCTAGAGTAATCTAAAACATAAAAAAAACAAAAGATGTGGGTCCTAGTGGTCTATGGTAAAAGCGCTTGTTCCAAGAAGCGAGGTATCAGTGTGCATCTGCTGAATGTTAGAAAGTAATTATTCTCGTAGGTATTTATCAACATTTACCTTTTCATTAGATTTCATTTCGATGTCAGTCAAACTCTGCATTGTCATCCCACCAGCAGTTGTCTTCATGGCAATTCCATCAGGTGCATTCATGTGCAGAGCTTGTGTTAGGGACTCTAATTTGAGTTGTTCTCTTGGTGGGGACATTACTTTCTTAGTTTCGATTGAACCAGTAAAATGTGCTCCATAAGGACCTAAAACAACACATTTTACTCAAGCAATAGTATAATGAGACCCTGAACAAACATTTTGGAGATCAGCTGAAACATTTCGCGATCAAGCAATATAGAAGCACTGAATTTTCAACGAAAAAGCTTAAATATTTCTATCCGCTTTGACTAGGTGATTTTTTCCAACCTGATATATTTTTATGGAATTTATTATGGTGATTTTGAGAATTATTATAATATGTATTACATATATAATACTTATTATTATATTTAAGAGTTTTCAAAAGTAATCTTGTATTCTGCCAGTTGGCAGGTTGATCATTTATTGCATTCTTTTCTGTGCCTGTCTCTTCGGTTAAGGGTATAAGCGATCCATTTTGATTTTTTGTCGTCTAAGWGAGAACATAACAGCTTCGTACAGTCAAGAACTTCAATTTGTAAAGCGTGAGGATTGTCATTATAATGCAACTAGCGTGGAGTTTGATAGAAACAATGCATTTAGGTCTTGGAAATCACTATATGTATATATACGGTATTCAGTGTTTAACGGTGTAATGAAATAGTTATACCGCGTACAGTTTTACGGATATCGACCCGGTATATATAGGAAATTAGACTTACTCTTACTTTAAAAAMCACAATCTCGCAGTCTCGGAAATTCTCGGAAAATCACCACTATAGAACTTTCAGTAAACCTGTCTACTGAGAAGAAAACTACAATGCTGCTTCACATGACGCAAATGTTCTCTGATCTCAAAAATCTCTTTAATGAAATATACTGTATGTATCAAAATCATTCGAAATTACCGGGCAAGTTACATTGATTATATAGATTGATATGACATCACATTGAGGTCATATGACGTCACAGTGACAATTTGGTATGATGCGATGACCGCACCAATGAAACTCCTGGATACACCACTGAACAACAACAGAATTTAGGAATGTACTGCCTATACTCCTGGTCCTGAGGTCGCCTAAGATTCGGCCTACCAAGATTACCGCGATCTTGAAAGATCGCATGGGACSCGGACTAGGGGTACATGAGGGGTATGAGCTCCAATTTTTGCTGTCTGTTTTGCTTTCTGTGCAATTTGTTTTAGAAATTGACAGAGCCGACAACTCAGCTAATAACTCATATTTGATCCATCAGGAGCTAGGAATCCAGGAACAAGCAGGAATGGTCTATATTTCATGTAACGGAGCAATTATATGTTACAGCATGTTCTGATATGTCGGAAATTCTTTAAAGAGAGCTGTGAGGCACTACTCTAATTTATCTTAATCTTACTTGAAAACTGCAGTTTGTCTGAGTGGAATTCTATTTTATCCTTGTCAGCATACATAATCTTCTTGTCCTGATCAGTCTTGATCCACAGATATTTGTTTTTTGCTACAACTTGATCTCCACCTAAGTAAACTTGACCAGTAATATTTCCATTGCCATCTCTTGCATTTACAGTGAGCGATTTTGTGGACTGCACAACAAGTGGCTTGTTCTAAGATCAACAACACATTTGGTATCAACTGCTAATTGGCTTTTATACTTAACATGTTGAAAATGCAAACACATGGTTGCAAATGCAATGTGGAAAATGAAAAAAGCATTTTCTTTGTTTTGCTTGCCAACCACTCAGTCTTAATTATTATGAACAAATCATCTAAAACAATCTATGTTTAATGGCTCTTTACTCAAGCATGTTAAGGCAGGGTCATTTTGTTGATATTAGAAAAACACGATTCCTTTAATAACTCAAGYAATTTTAACCTTATGAAATTCAAACTTGGCCTTAAAGTGTAACTTAGGTTTCTTTAAATTCTGAAGAAAAAAAAATCGACTTCCGGTGGTCACGTGACCCTAAGGCAATCAAAATATGTTTTTCAAAATGGGGTGGCGAAATTTATGTGAAACCAAAATATTTTTGAGTGGAATTGTTCAATAAATTGTTCTCTATAAGAAACTGTTTGGAATGGTTGGATATCATTGAACTATTAGGTACAAAATAATTTTTTTTTAAATTTTGACCAAGTCACGTGACCTGTTTTGTTAAATATCTCTTAAAATAAAAATGGTAGACAACCATTCCAAACAGATTCATGTTAAGAGTGATAAGTGTCAAAACTCTATATAAAAAGGTTTTTGTTTTATATCATATTGACCACCCCATTTTAAAATACGTATTTTGCTTGCCTTATGGTCACGTGACCACCGGAAATCGACTAAACCATGCTTAAAATATTTTTGACACCAAATTATCATTTATGCCTCAAAACCAAAGATTGTGAGTTTAGTTTAGTTCAATAATTTTTTTTTAGAATATCGTGGCAAAATACCCAGCCTTAACATGCTTGAGTAACAACTTTTCAGAGGTGGGCTGAACATAGGTTGCCCAACTATTGCTTGAGAAAAAATAGAGAATGAATGCACACTTTTATCACATCAGCGCACATGCTTTGTTGATTACCTGTGGTATTACGTCATACTTTTGATTCTGACAAGGTGTTTCATGCCTTGTCACTGTCTAGTTTTTGGTCCCACGAGGCAAGGGATCAATACCACAGGTAACCTGCATTTTGCTAAAAGCACGCCATTAACAGTACTGGCATAAAAGCCTGCGCATTTGTTCTTTGCGTTCTCTCAAGCAATAGTTATGGCTTGAATTAGTATTTTCATGAAATATTATTCATTTACGGTACTTTCAAGTCCATTTTGTATAGTCCTAAATGTGGAATAGACATTCTCTATATTGAAAATGTCAAGATTCTTTTAGGCTGCTATTTTAGAGCATCCAAAAACATGGTCTCGGAGCATGCAAAAATGTGAAGTTAAACACACATATTGTCATTTTATTAATTCAGAAGCACATCAAAAACAGAGTGTATTTTATGTAKCTATAGGAACACTTTTTGAAAATTGGCATCAATAAAAACATTCATCCATGCTTGATGTCTGTTGCAAAAGACATCTTGATCTGACAAAAAATGTTGACTAATTTGCTGAATGAAAATTGTACGTGTGGTCAAAAAAGGTTAATGTTTTTGCATTAATTTGAGGTAGAAGCTGAATTTGGTTGCCWAATTAAAGTTACAACAACAACAGGAAAAAAGGCCAACACGTTTAGATCAGTGCTGGCATACAGTGCGGACACAAGTGAAAAACTGAGTAGCAGGTACGCTAAAACAGAAATTAAACTTACATGACTTGATCTGATTTCTTTGGCATGTAAAGACTCCACAAATTCTGCATGTCCGTAAAGTCGTATTCCATCATTTGTTATCCTTAGTTTTCCCATGCCATCCTAAACATGAAGACAACAAAAGGTCATCAACAGGATGATTAATGATGATGATTATCAAAGTTACATTGGTATATGTCTATTTGAAGTGCACATAACTAGTCAGGGCAGATCAAAACTATTGTACAAGATTACATCCTAATATGTAATATGTATGACAAAGAAATTGAGTCAACTCTAGCTTGAAAAACAAATTTTTATTGCAGATGTTTCGATTGCAACTGTCATCTTCTTCAGTGCAGTGGCAAAATTTGTTTTTCAAACTAGAGACATTACTCAATTTCTTTGTATGCAACATCCTAGYTGCAACTTTAAAAGATTTATGTATGTTGGGCTTCTTATGGGACAACTGGAATACAATGGTGTTCATGCAAGATCTGCAAAGATTGGGGACTAGGAAKCATAAGYGRGACTTGGATGTTTGTACTGGCTGGGSTTTGTTCTTTATTTCCAAAGCTTTAAAATGGCTTGAAACATAAAGATATTTATAGCATAAAAGACTTTTTAACAATATGCCATCTTGTTTGCTTCTGTATTGGATTAGATTATTGTTGGTAAAGGATAAGCCCAAATCTAAAAAAAAAACAAAAAATAAATGGTACCTTCAAAAGACATGTGACAAAAAATGTGAAATCTTGTATTTCTCTAAGTATTATTTGCTCCATTTGCTATCTCCAGTAGCAATAATCCATTGTAATTATRGCAGACATATGAATAAATGAATATTATTTATAAGAAAGAATGTAGTTCACKTACTGTGTTAAAGCTCATCACCTCCATGATCCATATAGTTAGTGACAAGTTAATWACAGCTAGTATCATGATAAGAAGAATTAAGAAATAAAGGCATCTTTTTCTCCACCCGTAAATACCAATAGTATAAACAACTTTAGTGGGATCTTGGAGATTGGCCCAGTCTACTTCAGATACTTGCCGCTGGTCTCTTGCCATGATGTGTCAGGAGACTCAAGAAAGTAGCTATTTGACAGGTACTAAAGCAGCAAAACACATAAATGTWTTAGCAAAAAATGATAACTAAACTGTAAAATGATGTTTAGGGTATTATTCAAATTACTCACTACTTTTAAAATATTGCAGAGATCACACTGCCTGCAGCTACAGGATGAACAAATATAGTTTATTACTATATGCATGATTTATTTAATACCATTTTTGGATTCTGTCATTCAAGCCATAATACAAAACCTTTGTTTATTCAGTTGTACTGAACTGTTTAACCTGACATTATTAAGGGTGCTTTCCATTTAGGTACATAGGAACCGGCCGGCCAGTCCATATTATGCTTTTTGTCAACATTTTTCAGTCATTTCGAGGTTTTCTATAGAATAATTGATAGAATTTGAAAATTTGAATTTCCCGACTAGGAATGATATATAATGACATTTTCTCTGGGTCTGGCCAGCCAGTTCTGACAAATGGAAAGCGCCCTAATTCTCACTTATATCTAATGACTAATTGTTTCATTCAATCAAATCCTGGCAATATATAGTAAAACCACTGATGATTTCAATGATTTAAATTATAAAGCGTGGATAGTGGCACTGGCCTAACAAAATTTGATTTCATCACTTCTAAAACTTATTAATCATACAGGTTAATTGAATTCTAAAGGAAAAACATTTGTATGGCTACCGGCTGAGTTCGACGCCTTCATGCTCAATCACGCGATAAGAACATCAATGTCTTCTCCGATCAATTTRCAATGAAACATTACTTTATCTTTAAGTTTATCACAGTTGATGTACATTATGATAAACGTACAACAACGATATGTAACAATTTAAATGATGTTGCTGTTWTATAACCGCAACATGAAACAGTATTATCACCAACAATGAGAACATTACATTGTGCGACATTATATTGCAAAAAAACTGCGACTTTGAATGTACTATACTTTATACTTTAACTCTGGTGCTATAAACTACAAAGTTAGTGAGAGCTTATTAACCGGGCTTATTAAGTTTAAGTTTACATAAGCTTTACATTTACTTATAAGTACAGACAAAATACTTAGTAGTGCAACATCCTACAACCACAATAACCTTACTACAGAAACCTGTGCTATATTATTAAGTGATAATTGCAAATTCCACTTACCGATGTATTTACGATTGCAACGTAGAAGAACTTAGTCTTCTACAATTAAAGTGGCCAAACTGCATTCACTCGACTCGGCCTGTCAAACATTCAAGCCATCCAACTGTAAACAACGCTCTTTATTTGGGCACTGGGTACTAGTTGTCCCCTCAGGACTAAACTCCGGAGGAGGTTAGAAAACTAGGATAGCCTTTATTACGCCTCCTTCATGAAGATGTCTTTATAGAACATCAATTTAACATTCGTGATAAGGTGATGAGTCGTCTACACGCAGAAGTGAACGCAAGCTACCGTTTATTGCGTGGGCTCCCTGTGCAGTTGAAGCGTCTTTCGTTTGGCTGGAGGGGTTGGGTGATTTCTTTCTAGAAGAAATAGTGATATGTTCTTTGGCAATACCTGAAATATGAGTAGGTCATGCGAATGACCTTTGCAAAGCAATGTGCAGCTCATAGCCAGGCACCCTTTTATTTTTATTATGATTTCCCATAACCCCTGGAACGTGAATCTCAGTAAAAGCATCTACACCCTTTCAAAGCTAAACTGCATGAAACAAATCAAGCAATGAGAATTCAAACAAATAAAGCTGTTGTAAATTATAATCATATCCTATACAATTAATAAAATTTGAATCCCCAGTGCCACTTTGACACGTGTAGGTCACGTGATAAAGAGRAGAGTCTGGTAACTAACAAGAACCAAAATGGCGGCTGTGAAGTGTCTCCATTTTCTGTTGTTAATAGGCCTTCTTGTTGCCTTATCTCAGGCGAAAAAGAAGGGAATTTCTAAGGAGGTAAACATTTGTTTATGAGCTATCTTACCTTCGGTTAGCACATTTATACCTATTCAGTATTGAAATAGTATTGATTTAATATAAAATTGACGTTGTTCTTTCTTCTAAGCTTAAAAGACTGAACTTAAGCTTAAGACTTATAACTTACTTAAGCATGTCTTAAACCAAAAACAATTTTTTCGCTATAAAACGTAGCACCGATGTTCAATGTAAATAATTTCTCCCTGTGTTGAAGTGTTGAAAAGATATATTTAGCTTTGGGAATATAAAAGACGTCTAATTTTTTATTTAAGCTTATTTTAGTCTAATATTTAGACTAGTTCTTTACGAAGTTTTTCAGTTGACTTAAAGTCAACTGAAATACCTTTTGTATATGTATGCCTACTTCAGTACAACTTTCAGTTTGATACTTTGCCTGTAAATGGATAAAGAACTTGCACATTTTTGAGATCMTGAMAATTTCAAGCCTGTCAATTTTKGTAAGCTCGGAATGGTTCTGTAGTCTCTAGTCCTCTAATCTAACCTATCTAATGACCAATTTGATTTGCTAGTCTACTTGACTTGCAGTTAAAAAAGATATTTTGCAGTCACAATGTAACGATCTAGCACAAAGTAATTTTTTTCTATTTTGACTACAGCTATCTCTWGAGAGAAACCACTGCAAGCAAACCATTTTTCTTCCTCACAGACTTTGATAAATGAATTAGATAAATGAATTACTTTTAACTGATTTTGAAACCTTTTTTTCCTGCATTGTTGGTGGACTGTAGRTGCAAGCAAATTTTATATTTGATCAGCTTTGACTTGCAAGAATTTGAAAAAAAAGTGCTTTCTAAAAAAATTAATTCAACATACTAAACATTGTTGGTATTTCTCAGGTGATGCTAGAGGCTAAAGTCAAACAGTTAATGGAGTGGAATCACAGGAAGTCTATAATTAGGTTAAATGGAGATAAATACAGAACATATCTCAGGGCATCTCCAAGAAACTACTCAGTGATTTTGATGCTTACTGCATTAGCACCTAATAGGCAGTGTGCAATTTGCAGGTAAAGACTACATTACTGTAGGTAGTTGAGAACGCAGCTCTATCYKTGGGAYAAAACASTGGATTGTTTATATCAAAGTACAAATGCACAAGCTCGTATTTTGTGATTCTTTTATGAAATACTTCTGTCTTTTCAATACAAAAAACCTAAAAGTCCTAAAGTCTAAGATAATTCCATGTTAATAAAACAAGAACAACTTCGTGGAACACACCATGTCCAGGCTAGGTTAAGTGTAAATAACTTWTGATTGATTTGATAGATTCTGTAATATATAATCTTTTTCCATCAATACATTTATTCTGAATGTTTTTATCATTGCAGCAAARATTTAGCATCYGGATTGCATTCGCATTATACTCTGAGAATTTAAAAGATGGAAGGTCATTTCGTATTTTAAAAAGAAAAAAAACAAAGAAGTTGAATTGTTTAGAACTGCTCCAGTTGAGAATCAAACCCATGATCCTCAGTTCAATGCTACTATTTGAGTACAATCTTGTGTATAAAATTAAAAGAAACAAATATCTACAGGAAAAAATGAACATGACTAGAATAAGTAAAATTCATAAAAAAAAATAAAAAAAAATAAAAAAAAAATAAAAAAGAATTGTTTAAAAGTACTTTAGTTGAGAAATGAACCTGTGATCCTCAGTTCAATGCTGATACTTAAATATGATCTTGTGTGTTTACAAAAATAAAAAAAACAGCTCAAAAATAATAAAACAAATATCTACAGGAAAAAATAATTGACTTTGGCCTGGACATGCTAATTAAATTTGCCACTTTGCATACAATAGAGTACAAACACTAAATCTGTGCAACATTAATACCACTAAATACTGCTAAATTATGCTAATTCTATTGTTTTCTATTGTTTAATTAACACTATTTTGTAGTAAATAGCGGAAAGTGTTGCACACATTTAATATTAAGTACTCTAGTAATTTTCAGAATGTTAAATATTGTTAGTTCGGATTTTTCTCATCAGGTTTTGTTTGATTCATATTATGTGTCACTCAGATTATGCATTTTTAGTCTACCTTGTAAAGTCAACTTCATCCAAAACTTGGTTGTTGCTTTACTCTTTTTTTCTGTTTCATGACATTCTTAGTGACAATAAATTTTATTGTGTTTTGYAGAGAGGCTAATAATGAGTACCAAATCCTGGCCAATTCCTGGAGGTATTCACAGCAATATTCTAACAAACTGTTCTTTGCCATGGTAGACTTTGATGAAGGTCCAGATGTTTTCAATGCTGTAAGTAAATAGTTCAACCTGTTTTACAATCTATATACTAAAACATGAATTTTATATTAGTAGCATAGGGGTGAGTTATGGGTTAAGCTTAAGGGATTTCAAAAACTTGATTCTAAAAGCTGTTGTGGTAGGATACATGCCCATCATTTTATAAAAAAATATTATTAGTACAAAAGCCTCAGTWTTCTATCAATTCTTATTTTTGCAAAGTATTTTTGTTGATACAATAAATTCACCATGCAATTATATTGATTGAGCTTAGAAATTAGTGTATCAATTGATATACTTGCTGTCACTGCCTATTTCACAGTTTTTATTGCTCAAKGAAATCTTGTGATAGTGRCAGATATTTTCTTTCAGTTGAGGCTCAATTCAGCTCCTGTATTCATGCACTTTCCACCAAAAGGCAAGCCTAAGAAAGGTGACACCTACGATATGCAAAGGTAAGGACACYTTATGCCATATGCTTAAATAATAGATCCAACATTACATGTATGCTGTCTTCATAGGATGGGATTTTCTGCAGAACAGATAGGTCGATGGGTTAGTGAAAGGACTGATGTTCATGTAAGTGTTCTAGTCATTGTAATAATGAATTAGGCTGAATAATATTGTAATTTGGAATTTTTTCTTTACCCAGGTTCGTGTGTTTAGACCACCAAATTACATGGGGGCAATAGCTCTAGGGTTATTAGTTATTCTTATTGGAGGATTGCTTTACATYCGCCGTAAGAATCTTGAATTCTTGTACAATAAGAGCTACTGGGCTGTTGGTGCATTGGTAAGTTTTATTCTGCTGGTATGTAAAGGCTGGTTTAGATGGTACAACTTTTGCCTACAACTGTCGCATGCAACATGCGTAAGTCATCCTTACAACATGGCTACAACGGTTGTACAGATTAAAACAATAGTTTGACAACACCCTACGACAGTTGTAGCCATGTCATAAGGATGACTTATGCAGGTTGCATCTGATGGTTGTAGGCAAAAGTTGTACCATCTAAATCAGCCTTAATGYATTGTCACTCACATAACTCTCCCAGTCATGCTACTGTTTATATGGACATCCTCAGGATCTTGCAAGGAGATAATGCAGTTTTTTTACTTTTTCTCCAAATATTTGAAAATGATGTCCATCTTAAAGAAGAACTTAAGATATGTAATAAAAGTATATTATTGTTGTGATGATGGAAACTACCAGTAAACTATTCTTCTTCTTTGATAATAGTCAATTTATCGAAGTTATATTCTTTGTGTTTAGTGTATTGTRTTTGCTATGACATCTGGTCAAATGTGGAACCACATCAGAGGACCTCCATATGCACATAGGAATCCACAGACAGGACAAGTGGTRAATAATATTTGTTAATATTACTTAATCACCCCTACTAGACTATCCAACATCTATTGCCAGCATGACATGCGACATTCTACAAGGAGTCTTGTAGTGTGTAGTTGTACAATAGTTCTTTGTTCATATAATATCCAGATTTATTCCAGATTTTCTGTACWGAGTGTACACAGTACTTTTCTATCCCCTGGAAAAGAGATTCTGATGTAGAAGATCACTCTATTGTTTTGGCTTTTATGATATAAACTTTATTTTGTACATGTATGGGATATTCACAGTTTTCCACCCACTTTTCTTCTTTGAAAAATTCATATTCATATTCATTTTTTTCAGAGCTACATCCATGGTAGTAGCCAAGCACAGTTTGTTGCCGAGACACATATTGTCATATTACTGAGTATCCTTTAAATTCAATGTATTATATTCATAGTTCAGATTTGGTATTACATTTTATTCAAWTCTTTATTGATTTCTTTATAGCTTATGTATGATCATAGTACTTATTATGAAGCCTCATGAAATGTCATGTTGCCTAAAAGCAGTTATAAGAAAGCTAATTAATTTGTACTTGGCTGGAATAACTTACTGTAGATTAAGAATAGCATGGTTAAACTTGACATTATTCAAAGAATGCAGTTTTTGTTAATCTTTAACTCTTTAAGATGCTGCATACGTCATTGGGCTAATTCTTCTTAATGAAAAAGCCTTTGAAATCAAAGAACCTGGAAAAAGAAAAAGTAAGCCAACTTCAAAAAATATAAAATGAAATCTATACAAAAATAGCATCCATGTTTGCCGACAAAATAATATTTTGGAATTAAAAACTTGATAAGTATGACTTGAAAATTATGTTTTTAAGCAATGTTTCTCTAGCAATAAAAATAATTTTTAATTATGAGCTTTCCGACAGTTGTCCATCATAAGATTAGAATTTAATAAACATAGCTTAAGCTACCTAGCAAAATAGCAGTTTTAGGACTTGATAATTGTTCAAAATTGTTWTTAATTTAAAAATTGTTTGCTTGGTTTTCAGTCACTGTAATGGCTGGTCTAGGTCTGGTTGTTGTATTTTTTAGTCTTATTTTGTCTGTCTTCCGATCAAAGTACCATGGCTATCCGTATAGGTGAGTRTCTGGATAACAATAAAAACTGCTTGTCAACRTTTATAAGTTGTAGGACCATTCAAATGGCATAATTCATGAGTTTATAATAACCAGGTGGTATACATGTGTATGTCATTTTGAATGGCAATTCTTTCCATTTGTAAAATAAGAGGGTAGTCACTTTCCTTTGTTAATTTATGAAATACTTATAGTTCTTGTTTGATTGTGTCTTTTCTTTTTCAGCTTTTTGATAAAGTAATGACAGTCCTATTGTTCTTCAACGCATGCTTCAAGACACATCTCTGTTATCATGTGTATTTAATATTTAACTACACTACAAATCTTCGTTGTGTTTACTAAAGCCTTATAGACTACTTGTATTTCATTATCAGACAACCTTAATATTAATTTGTAGTTAGGTTTTCTCAATAAAGTAATGAGCTAAGTAATGATTCATTCTGTTGCTTCATTAAAGATCACAATAATTTTGAAATAAATAATCTATCGTCTACCCTGGTCCCAGAGGTTTGATATTTTCTCTCTTCGCTATTGGTTTTGTCGGTGCGAAGCGCCGTAATCGAGGCCGCTTCGCGCCGACAAAAACAATAGCGAAGAGAGAAAATATCAAACCTCTGGGACCAGGGTATCTATCGTCTTTCTGAGGAAGGCCTTACCATGATCATTACGTTGGGTTATGATTACTCTTATTTTTAGAGCCTTCCTAGCCCTGACAATCACTTCTCCTGGCTTTTATATTGTTCAACTTGAAATCACCTATGGCTTAAATTTTTATACCCAATAAAACACTCTCTTGTTTTKGGAATGGGTTGTCAATCATGCACAAGTCATTGTACAAGGAATGCTTATAATCCCACATTGATGAGTGATATGAATGATGATGGGTACTGTTCATGATAGCTGCTTTAAGATTTGGAGGTCAAACCTTGTTCAGGTCAGCAATTAGTGTTTGAAACTGCCTTAATATATTGCYTGGGTATAAATTAAAGATTATTTTCATTTTCCTTTTGACAAATACAGACAGTCATTCCAAGCTCACTGGTTGTCTTGCTACCATGCAACAGCACTGTCAGGGAACCTGTATTTTTTAACTATTTTTAACTCAATCTTGTGTGAACTTTCCAGGGGCAGATCCAGGATTTTCAGGGAGAGGTGCAGGGCTCTCAGGAGGGGGTGCACCACCGACAAAAATCATTACCATGAAGTCAGGAGGGGGTGTGCACCCCCTGCACCCACCAGCAGGATCCTCCCCTGCTTTCAGTCTTGCTTTGATGAGGATTTTACAACTGTTATAATTGATAATCCATGACTGTCTGTCTGTCTATCTGACAGTTTTAGAGTGGGAAACAGACAGGACTGAACTGTGACTGTAATTGTACTGTAACCAAATAGTCTTCTTTGCAGTTACCTGCACCATCTTGAAAGGTAGCCGTGCCTTTGCATCAAAGCGAGACAACCGTTGAGCGTGCAAAGATAGAAACCTGTGAATAATTGTCTGTAGGTGTGAAAGAAGGTTTGTATCATTGCATGCTCAACGTTTGTCTCGCTTCGATGCAAAGGCGTGGCTACCTTTCAAGATGGCGCAGGTAACCGTGAAGGAGACTATTCTAGTGCCCCATTGTTTCACAAAAATTGTGCAGGCCAGGTCCGGTAACTGTGCAGTAACCATGCAGTAATTTCTACCGTACTTTTCCCACTCGTACAAAATTGACCCTATGTTTTACCAATAGCAAGAGAAATAATTCTGATTATTAACTGATTATGACTTTCAATGAATAAAGTTGATGAAATACTATAGAACTTAAAAACTGTTTTACCATAGTTAATTGCTTCATGACAAGTCCGATAAAACTTTAACAACTGCAATTAGCCTAATAGACTGCTWCAATCAACAAAAAGTGCTTACGTRCCACCATGTTTAAAACKTCTGATAGACAAGAGTCTATTGCTACCATTGCACAYGGTGAACTTTGTTTGGYTTGTTGCCTAGGAATGCAAACTAATTAAAATTGTTAGTATTCCAAAATTTGGATTTTTTATTGATGTCATTGATGAAACGTGGTGTCATATTACTGTATAATAATGTACTCACTGTTGTTAATATTGGGTCACTGCTGCGCTAGTCTCTATACACTGTATTTTTCTTGGAATTATGTACTGTAGATTGCATCATTAGCACATAAACATCTTCTGAAGACTTTTCTTCACACATATAATGATAAATGTCTGTTGAAGATATGCCAAATACATGTCTAAATTGGAGTCTTGTAGCACATTCCAAATACATGTCTATGTGGATATGTCTTTGTAGACCAGGTACATTGTAGACTTCTCTTCATTCATTTTCATTCARGTAGATACAATTCTACCAAAAGCATTTATGGCCATTTACTTTCGTAAATGTTTTGTTTGTTGTTATGTATTTTGTCTGAATCTTTTTCATTCCCATTGTTATGATTCTTTTTTCTAACAAACTGAGCTTCAAGCTTCTTTTCATTCCATCTTTGTTTGTTGTTCTTTTGTTAAGTTGTTTTTTATTCTAGTTCTTGACTTTTGAATATTTTCATAGATTACAATACTTGCAAGTTAATGAAAAAAATGACAAAATCAGATACTTGTACTAAGAAACATTTTACAGTTCTATTTGATATATGACAAGTACCAAATATACTAAACCCACGAAACAAATCAGTCTCAATGATGTTGACCATCAAATCTATAAGTAGCTATGAAAACTGCTGTAAGTTCTGAACAAACAAAATTGTACTGCATTGTTTCACAGGTAAAGTTGTTAAAATACATCCATTTCAATTTGAATGTGTTTGAAACTAATATCCACAGTTATTCTAAAAGTATTTCATTAAAATTGTAAAAATATCATCTTCTCCATGATCTGTCTTCATCATCATCATCTTCTTCATCAAAGTCTCCTCCCAGCAGCAATGCTTCATCATCATCATCAGGTTTTTCCTGAAATAAAATTGATCTATTAGGACTAGCTAATATCAAAATGGAACATCTACAGACATCCATCATTATGATGAATCTTGTAATCAGACTTMAATATGTGAATGAAAGTAGTGTGCTTTAGGGTAATTTAAATTCATTAATTTTGGAAGACAACACCCCATGTCAACAATGTCCCTTTAAAATCAATGAAATACAAAGAATTCCAACTGTAGAATCTGCTTAGTTTAAAATGTATTATTTTTTCAGAGTCATTGACATTTTAATACWCAACCTCAAAGTAATGTAGCCATATACTCACTATATCTCCATCCAGATCCATGCCCAAATCCTCATCATCAAGCTTACTGGAGCTCAGGGTTGAGCTAYGAGAGTGCCTCATTTGTGGAGTGACTGCTTTTGGCTGATTAGTTGGGGTAGTCACTGGAGTAGTAGCTGGAGGTTTGTACCATGACAGGTTCAGCACTTTATCTTTCAATCTCCTTGCTTTAAATGCCTACAGGCAAATTAAGATTTTGATAATGATTTCTAATTGAATACTAAGCATAATACAAAATAATATTCAAGTCTTACTATTTCAGCTTCCTTTCTAGATCTGAAAGTTAGAATCATGCAAGACTTCTCTACATCATATTCAACACAGTCCACATTACCAAAATCCTGCAAAAGATAAGAATATTGTACTTAAAAATCTAGTAGTGTAACTATTGATTCCCTACGCAAGAAACAAGGGTAGTCAGAATAAAATTGATAATATTTAAAAACAATTACCATAAAATGTTCAACAATGGTATCTTTGTCTGTTGGCTTGACATCAGCAATACTGATTTGTTTTATAATAGCATCTGACGAACCACTTTCCTTGGTCCATACCCTCGAACCACGCCCTCTTCCACGCCCACGCCCTCTTCCTCTAATGCCACGCCCCCTTGGAGAACTAATGCCTCTTCCTTTTACAGGACCATCAAGAAGTCCTAATGACTTTGCCTAAAAAGATTCCAGGGTGTTCAATAAAATATTTTAAACAAATAAAGTTTGAGTTTCAAGTCGTTCAAGTTCAAGTTTGGCTGGTTACCAGTTTCCCTCAGTTATTTTGAGTAGGCAAGCAGGATCTCTGAAAACATATGGAAAATGGCAGGGGACCTGGRTCAAGCATCCTGATTGGCTGGTGAAACCAATTTTGTTCAAATAAGGTGATATTCTATTCTCATTTTATATAAATAGTTTTCATGGATTTATTTCAACTAGAGTCAACACACTTGAACTGTGAAACATAATCAAAGAAGTAGTGAATATTAGTTTTTTTTACTGACCAATTGTATGTATTATTATAGTATATATCACTAAATTTGAACTTGGACTTGACTTTTTACATTCAAACTTGGTTTTTTGTTTCTGAGTATGAGTCTGAGTATCTCACCTCTTGTTTGAGTTCTTCTACTTTCTTTTTTAGTTCTGTTGTATCTTCACCACTGTGTTGATGGGTTATCAAGTCCAGTTCTTGGTCTAAAATGGCTTTCTGTGCCTGATAAAAACATAAGAAAAAACAATGAAAACACCAATAATCATAAATGCAGCAACAAGACTAATGAATTCTTATATACCAACTGTCTTGCTTGTGATGGACTCTGTTTAGATTTGGCAGTCATTGCTGCTAACTCAACTTCTTTTCTGAGGGATTCAATATTTTTACTCAATGATTTCAAAGTCTGAAAGAAAAGAAATAAAAAGTATGTTAACTAAATTAATAAATGTGCAGTACTTCCTAACAGTTCTAAACAATGCATATCTGAAMAATAGTGAATCTTAATATAGGGATGACATACCTTCATAATGCTCTCTTTCTCTGATGCTGATAGGTTTTTTTTCTCAAGCTTAGAAATAAGCAACTGAAATATCAAAGGCCCAAAAATTAATACTGACAATATTTTGATGATATCCTGGGATTGATGCACAAGTTGCATTATTTTGTGTAATATACATATATGTTTGAATGTGCTTCATTCAATCAACAAGTGAACACGATATCAATAAACTAACACACACAAAATAACAAACAAGATGTACTGTTTGTTAACAAATAATAGCATAATAGTTTTACCTTTTGTTGTTTGATTTGTTTGTCTAAAAGTTCCTGTTTCTGCTTTTGAATTTCAAGTTTCTTCTTCATTATATCCTGAAATAACCATACTTTTATACTTTCATATTTTCATATAAACTCTAATGAGATCCAAAGAGTTAAAAATGTAATAAACAAAATTTATAAATTTATAATCTATATCTTGTTTGCAATCAGGCTCAGTTGTCTCTATCAGTTTACATGTACATTGTAACTTCAACTAAAGATGAAAAACATCATTTCGAACAGTGCATACAGGCATACACCTATTTYAAAAATGTTAAGTATTGAAGATAGTGTATTCCAAGACTGCAATGCATTGTTGGACCTTTTATTGCCAGACGTTTTGACAGATACAAACCCAGTAAAGGCAATGGAAAGCATTTAAGTTCAGAATCGTCATAATTTATAATACAACTAACAAATGTAGTTTTATGGCAACAAGGCATTACAATATCACAACTGCAGTATTTTGATGTTTTCTAAAATAGCTGTATATATTGATAATAATATTTTTATCATAATTATGCAATATTTGATCATATAATGATAGGTTCACTCCAGCTYGTGTTACCTGTCTTTGCTGTATTCTAGGTGAAGATGACACTGAAGTACTGGATGGCGACATTGAAGTAGATACTGCTGTTGTAGCCTCTACATTACTAGTAACTGTTAATGGTACTGTAGTTGCTGCTGAAGCTGTCACAGAAGTTGCTTCAGTAGTTGATACATCAGTAGGTGATGCATTTGGCTTAGGTTGTCTGACAAATGTAGTCTTTCCACTTTGAAACATTGTAGGCTTTGCAGAAGTCTGAATGAATCAAAACATTATGAAATTACTAACCAATACAACAGTAATATTAAAGTAATATAATTACAGATAAGTATCTAAAGTTCTWTATTATAAGAGGCCTATGTGTTACAAAACATAATGAAATTAGAGTATAAACACTAAAACTGTGCAACATAAATACCACTAAATACTGCTAAATTATGCTAATTCTATTGTTTTCTATTGTTTAATTAACGCTATTTTGTAGTAAATAGTGGAAAGTGTTGCACACATTTGATGTTTGTACTCTATTATCATCGYTATTATTATTATCAATGAATTGCACAAGTTGTACCTTATTAGAGTCTGCTTTTGTACCAGGTTTGCCTGTTGACTATAGAAATAATATCAAATCAATTTATCTTTACAATCATATCACAAAATAATTATATTGATAATCACAGTCATCACCACACAATATATCAAATTTAATGCTAAATGTTCATTACTGGATAATTGTCATTATTTTTCACTATTCCCACCATGACCATGGGTGACAGCCATTCCCATTACTGTGATAATAACTGATAGTATTACAGTTGATTGAATAAAAACACGAGCACGTAATTATGAGTACAATATTTGTAGCTAATATAAAAAATCTTGTAAAAGCAGTTTTAAAACAAAAAAGGTTCACTTAAAAAGAAAACAAATTACATAAAAAGATCATTAGTCTTCCTTTAAACTGTCATCTTGCTTCCAGTAAGTAATGTTTTGATTATAGTTGTATTTTTTATCATTCAATATTCCAGACATATTTTAGGTGCTCATATTTTTTGTTGAATGACTGTAAGTATTAATACCTGTGTATCTCTGTCAGGCTGGTGCCAAAATACCCTGATAAACCTGTTACCTAAAACTGCATCAGGACAAGTGTATGCAGCTTTTGCTTCTAAGTGTTTGGAGAATGTGATCAAAGCTGCTTCTGGATCACYAAATGCATTTACCTGCAAGGACAATATGCAGTGTCAATATTAAAACTGTTTCTATTTTCACTCCACACTTAAAGAAATTAAAGCATTTTGATAAAATTGTTCATAATAATATATTAGTTCTATTTCTGGCAATACTGTACATTTCCCATCCTCTGATGTTTTTATGTTTAACATGAGTTCAGCTAAATTGATGATCATTATAGAAATGATCTGATTTGTATTTGTAATTTTTCTAATCACTGCTATGTGTATTGTAATGAACCATACCTGGATATTAACAATGCTTCCAAATTTCTGGAAATAATCGTTTAGTTTAGTGATGGTGTTTAGTTCCCGTGGAATCTTCTTCAGCTCCAAGGTGTCATTATATTTCCTCCAAACTGGTCTGTTTTGAGTATTATTCTGTTCACCTTTGTTTTGTTTGTCAGTATCAGGCCCAATGACAACTCGGTTTCCCTCTCCTTCTTTGCTTGTAGAAACTAAATGTAAATAAATAAAATTAGATGCAATGGATTGTTGAACTGTACCATGGTTTGACATACACGTAGGGATTCAACACTTAAACAATTAAACTACTATTAAGATTGTATCAAATGGAGCCTTGTCTGCTATTTGTAAGTTGTTAGTATGGGATGATATACAGCGAAAGCTTGGAATCATATACTAACAAACTTACAAATAGTAGCCAAGGCTTCATTTGATAGCRGAACTCTTGCACGGGCTGATGACCTGTGAGAGCRTAGCACCAAAGCTAAGAGAAGATGGTATATCCATTGAGTCCATTTTTCATAGACCRACACAGGGTTCACCCACATACASAATTTCTGGGCATACACTTATAACATTTGGGCTTCCTGTTCCACAAACGTGACCATATAGACAGGAATTTGGAATAATTTGTATAAATTGAAGAAAAAGCCACACAACTTGTAACTTCAGTTGATTACTACTCTTTATTGAACGTTTCGGGCATTTGATGAGAATGTGAAAGGTAAACTTAAAGCCGGACTGCCTATGGGTAGCATCATAGAATGAGGGTCAAATTAAAAACAAAATTTGTTATTACTAAGTTATCAATAATGATATTGCATCATTGTCAACAACATTGTAAGAAGTTTATCAATATGCATTAATAATAGATCAAATGATGATGTCACATTTATTTCCTACAGGTCACTGTGATAACTGTGTGAAAATGSTCATAGAACCAAAGGCACAGAGGGACCACTTGTTACAGATTGCAAAAAAAGCCCTGTGTGAATAGGGTTAAAAACTTGATTTTACATTTTAATTTGTCCCTAGTATGGGCAGGGAAACCRCAACAGCGTGAGCCAATTACTGCAGACCCTGTACTCTCACACTCACTACCTCTACTTTAAGTATTTTAGCACACAACACTCCTCACATGGTTGATTCTTACTGAGGGAGGAAAACCGGAGGACCCGGAGAAAAACCCTYGTGGCAAGGGAGAGAACAACACATCAAACARACTCAAACTCACATATGGTCCGTGCCCGGGAATCGAACCTGGACCACAGCGGTGAGAGCCCAGCAGCTTAACCACAAGGCCACCYGTGCCACCCACTATCCATTATCCATTTCAGATTCATATATAAAATAAAATACAATATATGATAATATGATATATATGTACCTTGTACAGTTATTTGTGATTGGTTAGTAGAAACAGCAACCAGTTCTCTGGAATGTAGTGGGACCCCAGGGTTACCAGGTACSACTGGAGGAGGTACATTAGGCCTACGTATCCATATTGGTAGGCGGTCAAACTGAGGTTGTTCAGGATTATAGGAATCTATAAATTACATAATTAAGTTGACTTCTTTGCATCGACATGATTTTACAAAACACTGTCTTTGTAAAGGTCTTGTCCAGTTTTATTTTAGGTGTAAGTTTATAAGAGGATTACCTTCTGATAATGGGAAAGGTGGTCTGGGTGGACGAGGTATTGGCATAAAGGGAGGCCGTATACCAGGGTCTACTGGAGCCATGATCATGACAGGTGGAGGTAATGGACCACCTCCTGGCTGCTTTAAGCTAGATATTGGCTGTGTGTCTGCCATGGTACCTTTAACAATAGGAAAAACAAACAAGATATTAACAGATAAGGTATGGAAAATTGAACACAATCATCATTTACAATCATGATACAATCATGATATCTGATTTGAAAAAATCTGAGAGCATAGCTGAACATGTAAACATAAGAAACTCATAACTTGTATTTATACAGTGCTTTTTTTTCTTTTCCTTTTTATACAATTATTGTTTAATTTAAAGTCATGAAGTGTTTTTCTGGTTTGGCAGATTAGCATTGATGGATGAATCATTCTGATAAACACATATAACTGTAACATAGTTAATATACAAATATGCATACAGTTGTTTGCAGCTTACTGACTACCCTTGTCTGTGAAACACACTTTCATTTTAAGACTCTTTCCTGCTAGAAACAATTGTGCAAATTGTGCAATTGTTTCAAATTAGAATACCTTTTCAGCTTCATTCTATAAAAATATTGCTTGCTGTGGTTTATTAAGCAGGGCTCAAAATAACAGCCGACCAGTAACCGGACATGATGACTGTTCAAATACAATTTTGACCAGACACGTCCCAGTTTTGACGGACAAAAATGAAGAAAAAAAAATGAAACGTAAAAACTTCAATTAAAACATATAATATCTATTATAATTGCTTTTCATTTTTTTATTTTTGCAAATTGATTTTGAGGATGTGTAAATGTGTTGTAATTATGACAAATTTGGTGGAAACTCTGTGTTTTTACTTCGCTCTCCTGTAGATTTCTTTCTTGCAATTAATTTTTTAATATTTTCAATGTTGGCGCAGAGTATGGCTTTCCTGTGGTGGTACATGGATGGACGATGGAAAGGAAATGTGCATACCGGTAYGCATGAGAACCCTGTGTTATTCCATGAAAATTGACTTAGTTGATGGTAAACTATCTTTTCTTAACTATGGTTCTCTGCTCACACTGGCCAATATTAGGCACATATTACGAACAAGTCATCTAATAATAAATAACTTATTTGTACTTACAATCAAACCGGACATGACATTCAAACCTATTTTATCATGACCTACCTTTAGGAAGATCTGTATTTTTTTCTGTTTTATTAGGTTCTGATACATTAGGCTTGGTGGTGGGAGGTGGTGGTTGATTAGGAGTTCTTGGAAAAGACTCAGATGGTACACCTAGCAATGGTGGTACAACTGGTAATCCACCCATAGGAGGAGGTGCACCATGGATAAATGGTGGTTGTGATGGAAACCCTGGAATCATTCCTTGCATTGGCATGTCTTGTATAACTACTGGGTCATTGCCATGGTCATAAGGGCAAAGTTCTCCTCTGATACAAAATCCTTTTTCTAGAGAAAAAGAGGAATGAGTATTGTGTAGTTCCAGAAAAAATCCATACCCCCACCACAGAGGATTTTGGAAATTCCGAGGGGGTGGAGGGTTAAAGTGACTTGGAAATTCCAAGAGGGTTGGGGGTTAATCTGCAATCGTTCTACAAAAAAAATGATATGCATTATTACCGTATTCTAACTTGATGGTTGCTCTTTAAATAAGTTATTTGACATGAATTTAAATGAAAATTGTGCTTCAAACAGACAGCTTTTACACAAAATGGGTTTTCACGTTCTGGCCGAGATTGTACTTAGAATTCGCAAAGTCCATGGATACACATGCATATCAAATCAATATGGCGCTAGACTTCGTTGTTCATCACTTTAGTTTGTTATTTCTCCTCTGTTCTTAAAAAAACATTTGATTTTAAATTGCCAGGTGTATTTTAACATAGTTAATGATTTTAATAAATCTTGTATTGACGGAAATGTCCTCTGTGGTGGGGGTATGGATATTTTCTGGAACTACACATTGTACTGGGTTTGACAATTTTAAAAATTATCAATACTAAACAACTACAGTAATCCTAGAACACACTGTTGAAATTTTCTCTGAGGAAGGAAGTATTGATGTTAATAAAAGTGGAAATTCCATGGAGAACAGCAGGGTGTTATTTCTAGCCAGCACAAGAACAAAAACCTCTAGKGGATAGGGGATGAAAAAGTAGAAGATGGAGTAGGAAGATGGGCTGGATATTTAACAGAAGGATATATTACCATTATAWGTGATGATTATGATCAAATTATTAATACCTTCATAATCCCTACAGCGTGCCTTTCTTTCTCTGTGCCCAAATCTTTGGTTCAAATCATGATGTCTGTCTCTGTCCCTTAGTCTGCCTCTATCCATTTCACGATCTCTCCTCCTGTCAATCCATGACCCACCTCCTCTTCTATTGCGGTCATCATCATCATTTCTTGGACTAAAGTCTCTGTCTCTTCGTTGATATCTTCTGTCACGATTTGAATCTCTTGATGCCTGGGTACTAGGGATTGGTTGAGGRTCTCCATTTCTTTTGGTATCTGCTTCCTCAGCATTCTTACCTATGTCCTCTTTAGGTATCTTTGTCTGGTCTTTTCCCATTGAAGGCTCATCTTCTGCTTTTCGCTTCCTAGTACTTCTATCTATTTGATCCTGTGTTTCACTTATGGAATCTTTATTGGAATCTGTATTTTTTCTTGTTCTTCTGAAGTCTCTCTCATCATCATCAGGAACAGGCAACTGACAAGTACGTGCACAATTGAAAAGAAAGAACTTGTCTTTAATATATTTTCATTAACTTCACTTAAAATCTTCATGCAAAATTTGATACTAAAACTTACTTTACTCTAACTCATTTTCAACACTGCTGTTGTATTTATTTACCTCTATAACTGACTTGTTAGCATTCAGTTCTTCTGAGATAGAGGGCTTTCTTGGTTTGTCTTTCTTGTCCTTTGGTGATATTGTTGTTGGTTTAGCGTTTGGCTGTTCCACAATTGGAGGAGGTAAGTAAGAATGGCTTGCAAGGGATTYGAATAATACCTCTACGAAGTTATTGGTCTCTATAAGAATAATTATAAAATTATAAAATTGCTAAATGAGCTARATGGGTTGGTTAAGCAGCAACTGCTATCTTTAACACAGTTAACATCATATGAGTAAAATGCTACAAGAAATAAAATAACATATTGTTTATCACTATTACTAGTACTGTCATCATTAATGACAAACCAAGGTAATTTTTATGATTTTCATTAAAAACAATGCTGCAAGAAAATAAAGATTACCCATCATCTTTTCTGGGAGAATACTTCAATAAATAATTGATTGTATTTGTAGACATAGTAATAGCCAATTTGCATTATGGTGTCATTTACTACAACTACCAGAATGCTTTGCCAACTTTCTTTTGTAATGCAATTAGTGCCAATTGTTTTATTAATCTCCAAGGGGATTAAAAATCTGAATAACAATGAAAATGCGCAAGGCTCTCTGGTATTTGTAGTAAAGTTACGCCATAATGCAAATGGCCCATTACAGACCTTCAGACAAGAACACCTCCAACTGATCTTTACAAACATGTTTGAGTTCTTCTACTGGCTTATCTTTCTTCACTAAAGCAACTACATATTTAGCTAAAGCAGCTGGATCAGCATCACATCTGAGGGATAACCAACAYGTTGATTAATTCATAAAATTTGGTATTTAATTGTAAAATCTTATTGGAAAGTATGTATGTAATCCTGTTGTAGACTAGAAGTTTAATTTTCAATGCTTAAATCAATAAACAAATAAAGATAAAAAAAAATTCAAACAGTACAACCAACCAGATCAAACCGACAAGTTTCTAAGTTTTAAATCGTGAAGTGAGACAAGTCTTTTTATAAAAAAGACTTTTTAGGCAACTATTTCGTTCAAATTAAGTTATTTTAAAAGTAAGCTTAAGCTTATTCTRAAAACTACTTCTCGTTTCAGGACGTGAGGCGACTCTCAAGCATGAAGCTTTAAATGTAAACAAAATCACTTACATTGGTTCTAGACGTGCCGTCAACCATGATTTTAAAGCTTCTACGTTTTGTATTTGCATCTTCGATATATAACACTTTAATATGATGACTCAAAAACGTTTTCCAGTTCTTAACAGACTTCTGACAGAGTTCAACAAATCCAGTTCTGCTAAAGCACTTCCAACACGTGATCTCCCACGAGATGTCTAGAGTAACTTATTCATGTCTTTTTGTGAATTGGGTAATACTAAGTTCCGTTATTTTACCGAACTCAGTGCTAAATGTCTCAGTCAAACCGACAGAAAAATCACCAAGTAACGACCTCCATTTTGTTTCCTACACGAGGAGCTCAGACAGAGGAAAACTGGCACGAGGGACAATATCCAGTGAAAAGAGAAAACATAAAATTACTTTTTCAAAACACGATCAGTGACACCATTTACAAATCATTTTTATCAATACAAAGGTTTTACGGCTTTTAGATCTATAAAATTAAGGCTTTTTAAAAGCAAAATTCACGTCGGAGTTGAATGGAATAAAATTCTCGAAAATAGTCCCTCGATCCCAGTCTCCGCGCAAATTATCCCATGATACTGTGTGGGCCGTGCAGATCACTTACTTCGCGCCGCCAAAGACCATTCAATAAGCCGGGTTTGAAAACCTTTTTAAAAGAAAACGTAATTTAAAACTTTATTTGTTCACCATGCCTGCCGACGATAATGCATCTACAAGTACTGAAAGTCCTAATGATGAGGTAAGGATAATATAAAACTACAAAATAAGTCATAAAATATGAATCATGCCACAATGAATCGTGTTGAACTTTTCGCGCGAACTTAGCTTTCTTCGTATATACGGTATGTCCCTTGCAAAATGTTGTTTTGGAGTTGTAATAAGATGAACATAATATATACACCTAGTGGTATCAATTTCTTTTTGATGAATCAAAGAATTTTTTGTGTATGATGGATGCAAGAAGTTTAGCTCCTCGTGAAAGTACTGTGTATTGTCTCGGCTAATTAGCATATGTTAGTTACACTGTCATTTCAAATTGTTGTTGCGAACTTCTTATATTACAGACTGAAGAAGAACAAGATGCCGATTATAAGGCAGCCCCTAAACCGAGCACGTCGAAGAAAGCTAAACCATTGCCCGTATCACAAGACTATCAGGATAAAATCGTAAGCAACGTCTAAATATAAATTATTTTCTAGTAGGGAGGGGACAGTACCATGATCATTCTAGCAAAGGAAGTGTCCGGAGTACGCTTTTTTGACACTTCACTAACTATTAGGCTAGGGCTAGTTGATATGTTGGTTCCATAAACAAATCAACATTTCAATGCTGTTGTAAATAATTTTTGAAATATTAAACTTCATATTTYCACTACATTTCTAGGTCAAGGACAGTACACAAAGGTTCAACTATCTGTTAAAGCAGACAGAGTTTTTTGCACATTTTGTTGATCCAACTGCAGGGAAAAAACAGCCTACAAGCCCACTGAAAATGAAACCAATTTCATTCCCTTCAAGGACCAGAAAACTTTCAGATTGTGGAGAGTAAGAAAATTGCATTTTATAATTATTTTGTACCGGTATTCATGGTTTTGACTCTTATTATAATTTAGTCAGTTTTAGACTTTCCATACTTGAAATATTTGGAGCAATACTTAAAGTACACCTAATCACTTATTTTGAGTAATTTTTCACATAATTCAAGATATAATTTTAAGCACTTTGATTTGGATAAATCCCTGATTTTTAATTGCATCCTAACTCAAGCAGTCAATGGCCTCATGGTAGCCAYTTCAAGAGACTGGAACTGAGAGTGGGGTCTATATTTCATAAGCATTTGTTGCTTTTCATATGCTCCTATTCTTAATCATTACAAATTATTATTCTATAAATTGCAAAGTATATAAGAATGTAATAATGATGATGAATGAGGAAATTACCATATATTTTATCAGATATGTCTTTATCCCTGGATAGATTTCATTACTGCTAGTCCCAATTCTCTGTATTCCTTATCATCCATGACCATCCACAGGGATCCATTGAAGCTTTTATTGGCTGCTTTGGAGCGTTATAAAAAATCAGGCATTTATCCAAGTCAATTTCTTTTCACATAAGTGCTTAACATTATGTCTAGAATTATACAAAAAAATTACTCCAAATAAGTGATTAGGTGCATTTTTTAAGTAGCAAAAATTGTTTAAAAAATTTCATAGACATTCATAAAGTTTTTAGCTTATTATTATTTTGTTTGACCACCCGGTCTGTCTCAATCAGTCTATGGCAATGGTGCATCCCTCAATCACTGTTACAAAGCGTTATCAAGAAAGATTATCCCTATGAGATGTATTCTGTATTTKTGTTATAGTAAAAGCTTGTATCTTTTATAGTCATCGCCACCGGAGAACTGAAGAAGAAGAGGATGCTGAACTGATAAGTCAGAACAAGAATGCACAGAAATCTGTACTTCATTTTGAAGAATCTCCACATTGTAATTACATCTCAATTTGACAAATTATATATTGTCTCATGATATATATCTGGAGAAGTTTTACTCTAAGATTTTTTGTTCAGTCTAAAGTTTTAAACTGTCAGTAAAGAGTTACAAGTGCACAATTTTGTTGTGGTACTAGACGCTGTGTTATTTTTAGATCTAATGGAAATAGAATAGTATTTTAGAATTGCAGTTTCTTCGCATATTGAATTGCATCAATATTGTTTACAGATGTCAAAAACGGAGAGATGCGTGACTATCAGATACGAGGCTTAAATTGGTTGATATCCTTGTATGAAAATGGCATCAATGGAATTCTTGCTGATGAAATGGTAAGGTCACTGCTAATTCATGTAAGCTCACTTATATATGGTTATGTTGATGGGATATTCAGACCCATTTTTGATGAAGAGATGGAATCAATATCTAGCAGCTCACAAGAATGGGTACGAATTTCCCTAATKCACGAGTTGCTGTTATTTTTTTCAAAGTTTAATATTTTTACCATGTACCTGTGTACATGTAAGGCAGAGTGTTGTTTAAGTTGATGATGTAGAATTTTGGGAAAACGTTCAATTTTTTTGGAGTTTTGTTGTATAAATGGGTCTAAAKTTTTTTCTGAATTCCATTTTAAGTGTCAGGAGCCATTTGAATGTTCCACTGATTTGTTGATTTCCTTTTAGCCTCTAGATATTTCAATCTTAACTCCTGCATGGTGTATCCATTCCTTTGTTTTCTGTCGTTTTCACTTCCCTCCTGGATTGCATTGTATCTATCTATTACATCAACCTGATATCACACCTGTTTGTGTTGAATCTCTTGTAGGGACTTGGCAAAACCTTGCAAACCATCTCATTGTTGGGCTACATGAAACATTTCAGGAATGTCCCTGGCCCTCATATAATCATTGTCCCGAAATCAACACTAGCTAATTGGATGTCAGAGTTTGAAAGGTGGTGTCCCACGTTAAGGGCAGTCTGTCTCATAGGTTCACAGGAACAGAGGGTGAGTATTATCTACTTATTGACTGAGTGGAATGGCTGTGTTGGGAAGTATTTGGTTTAGGGTCACAACTTAAAGATTGTGTGCAAGGCTAGGCATATCCAGTCAAGGTTTTCTTAAAGTTTGTTAAAAATTTCTTAAATTCCGTCAAAGTAGCTTCATAGTAAACTCATACTTTATTATGATTAGTATAAACATGGGTTGTAACTACAATATTCAATTTTTCAGACTGCATTCATCAGGGACACAATGCTACCAGGTGAATGGGATGTTTGTGTTACTTCCTATGAGATGGTCATTAGAGAAAAAGCTGTCTTTAAAAAGTTTGCTTGGAGGTATATGGTAATTGATGAAGCCCACAGAATCAAGAATGAAAAATCCAAGGTAAATGTCATATAATATCTAATATTGCAAGAACATTKGGTATTAGATGGGGGATGCTTGGACCAACTTGAAATATATAGAAACAATTTACACATGAAACAATGCAACCTTCATTGAAACAGTACTTCTTCAGAAATGGGAAAATGCTGTACTTTCTTGCTTTTTAAGCTTGCTTCCCTTGAACTTTAAATGCAGTATTTCTTACTGTGTATCACTGGACATAGACATGCACTATTGTCAGATACATGTAATGCAATTATATTGACTAATGGACTGCTAACATCATTTTYATATTAATGAATTTTATGCAAAATTTGTATTTTATTGATAGTTATCAGAGATTGTGAGAGAGCTGCGATCAGCCAACAGGTTATTACTTACAGGGACACCGTTACAAAACAACCTCCATGAGTTATGGTCACTACTTAACTTCTTACTACCTGATGTTTTCACATCTGCAGAGGTCAGGATTRAAAGAATATCTTTTGCTTGGATTTCTGTTAGTATTATTGGTATACAATACATTGTTGTTACTTTAATCTTGATTTTTTTAGGATTTTGATGCTTGGTTTAACAGCAACAGTCTAGAAGAAAAGCACCTTGTGGAACGTCTACACTCAGTAAGTACATACAATTCCCTGTATATGTTGTACTTTATGTAATATTAATATATAAAATTTGAGCTGGGAGACCTTTATGGACATTGAAAACTGTGAGCTGCAAGTAAGCAGTTTTAAAACCCATAAAGGTTGGACACRAATATTTTATATTGCTTATCAAATTCCAACATAAGCTAAAGCATATTTTTTAAGAGAAAATCAAAGTTAAAGTACAATTAATATACAAATCAAGACAAATCTCTTGCTCATATAAAGATTGGGTCACAGCAATGATTTTCCGTTGTGTTGATCAATTGTTAATGAATTTGATAATCTTAATTTAATACACTGCTGTTAACCAGAAACTCTGCATTGCAGGTCTTGAGACCGTTTCTTCTTCGACGTTTGAAATCAGATGTGGAAACAAGGCTTCTTCCTAAGAAAGAAATCAAAGTCTATGTTGGTCTTACAAAAATGCAAAGAAAATGGTATAGCTTTTTGTAATAGACCCTTTTAGAGATCTCTTTTACGCTGTGTAAGCCTCAAAACCATGTAATATATTCTKTTATTCACKAGCAGCCTGTGCAAATGCAAGAGATCCGTGAGTATAGAAGACAATGGGGAATAGTTTGAAATTTCACAAGTTTTATCTAAATTTCTGAATATTTTTGCACACAATTGAGGGTAATACAGTGTAAAAGAGATCTCGAACTCAACTATTTTGTACTTTGCTGAAAATTAATTTTCTGACAGTTGTTCTTTTTCCTATTCTATGTAGTATGATAAAATCTAAGTAGGCGTTTTATATACTCCTGTAATATTTATAATATAATATACAGTGATTCCTTTCAACAAACAATCCTGAGGAAAAACTATCCGTTTGTGAACCAAATCTAAACAAATCTCTCAACCTCAAAGGTAAAATGTTTSACAGAATACTGTTAAACAGTATGAAGACACYCTAGGTGCAGGAAGTTTGGGGTTGTAGGTTTCTACTGTAATTRAGGATAAAAAAATTCAATGATTCAAGTCACTACATTTCTTGCAGGTATACTAAAATCCTAATGAAAGACATTGATGTTGTCAATGGAGCAGGGAAGAGTGATAAGATGAGACTTCTCAATATCTTGATGCAGCTTAGAAAATGCTGTAACCACCCCTACCTATTTGACGGTGCAGARCCAGGCCCTCCATACACTACTGACACTCACTTGGTTGAGAATAGCGGAAAACTGAAAATATTAGATAAGTTGCTCCCTCGTTTGCAGCAAGAAGGCTCTCGTGTCCTTATTTTCTCCCAGATGACTAGAGTGCTGGATATTCTAGAGGACTACTGTCTATGGAAGCAATATGAGTACTGCCGTCTTGATGGACAGACACCTCATGAAGAGAGACAGTCATTTATTAATTCATTTAACATGCCTGGTAGTTCTAAGTTCATCTTCATGTTGAGTACAAGGGCTGGTGGCCTTGGTATTAACTTGGCAACTGCAGACATTGTAATCTTGTATGACAGTGATTGGAACCCACAAGTTGATTTACAAGCAATGGTAAGCTGCATTGTAAAAATATTTATGCCTATTTTACAACTGCTGAAGTGGAGGCTGAAGTGAAACACTGTTTTGTTGAACTGACTTAGGAAATACAAGGAACAATAAAATAGAGCAGATTTCATATGAGCATGGGAAAAACATGGCTTGTGTGCCATGATTGTTCTGCTTGTTAATGGTAATATATTCTTGAATCAATATATTCATTTAGAATCACAAACAGACAAGGTTCTTCTACTGTGTTGTGTCTGGAATACAGGTCATTTCGCACAAAAGACCGTTCGCACAAGTTGTTTCGCCCATATTTCRGACCGTTCRCACAATTTTAAGAAGACACTTCGCACAGAAAATTATAAGTGAGCAAAATAATTTTATTGAGATTCTTACTGTACTATATTGAATAAATTCCTAATTACTAGTTTGAAATAACAGTGTTTCTGAATTTGTATACACAATCGATCGAATGCGGTACCGCGGTCGGCGTGTTTTTCTCTCCTTCTTTCCTGCCTTTGTTGTTCTGTGTATCCTGTTTGGTTCGGCTTTTTCTTTGCCATTTCGAAAATTGTTGATGATGTCTTTCAAGTTAGACTTATTAGGATGAAATATCTGAATCTCATTCTGAATCCGCTAGAAGAAAAACGCTAATAGAAACACGCTTAGGCTGGACAAGGAACAAAGTCAAAGAAAACTACACGAAAATGTTTTACTAGAATTTGTAAATGGCGAACATTCAAGATTTTATTTCTTCCACTGTTTTAGAGGACGCTATTTCTAAATTTTATTGATATAAAACTTCAAATCTACGTAAAATGGCTACCGTGGTCAAGTAGGGAATAAATTGAAGTTCGTCGCCTCGCGCCGGTTTATATTGAACTCCTTCGACACGAACTGGTATGAACAGCAATGCTACTAGTAAATCACTGGAAAAACAGATCCAGATCGTTTGATTTTTAATCRCCACGATGTTGAAGCTAAATTTCAAGCATTACATATTCGAAGCTCAGGTGATGGTCACTCGACAATCGCGCTTCAAAAAGTTTAAGATTATGGCCTTAAAAATGCATTTACAAAACTTTGCCTGTTTGTCTACATCCCCAGTAGAAAAGGCTACCTAAATACAGCTTTTGACGGTTGATTTGGCACGCTTTTACTAATTTCACTCTAGTCTCGATTATCCAAGTATTTGGACATGTTGGAAATTTACAAATTTTAACCAAGTCGCGCGTAAAGTTGAAGCTGACAGCGGTTCGAAGTGTCATCCCTCAGCTTTTTCCGAAACAAGTCCGGTCGTGCTCTAATTTGCATCGCCAGAATATAAACACTATCAACAAACTAGATTTTTTGAGATTGATAAAAGAAAACCTAACCAATAAAAGTATATTTTCGCAACTGAAGTCTGAAGACATAGTAAACTGTATTAGCCATTTTTATGTTATAAAATGAATTGTAATTTCTGTCATATTGAGCCAATCGAAAAACTAACCATATCGCTAAAAAGACTTTATCGACTTTAGTGTAGGCTCCAAGTTACAGATCATTTGGAGAAATATTCAATTAATAAGAAGCCGTGCAATTTACAGAGAATGTATGGGGATTTTGACCGCGTCCCCCAAAACAATACATTCTCTGTTAATTTGATGAAACTAGAAATAAATACTGTTCAGCTAGTTTTTATCCAAACGTTTTGAAACTTGGTATACATACTAATTTTTGGGTGTCCTTTCAACTGGTGGGGTTTGTTTCGTGAATAGATCAATATTTCTTTGATTAGTGCCCAGTCCCCTGCGCAACGTCGAAATGGCCAATTC